TCAATGTTGGGAGGCTAGGCTCACTCTAACGCTTGGTCCCCCTCAAAGACCCTCTAGGGAAAGTGTGGGAGAAATACCCAGAACTTGAGATTCCCTAAAGGAGAAGAGGCAATGCCAAGTGAGGTGGGTTCACTTTGGTCCTTGAGAGGACCACTCACTGAGTTAGTTTAGATTCTTATCTTTTAGCAGTCTCTAAAATCATCTTCATTTTCCTCCCTCCCTTGATCCTCTGCACTGCTACTAGCATCAGATTAAAAAATATTCATTCATATTTAAAAAACTAACAAGGGTCAACTGCTTGCACAACACTATGCCAGCCCAAAAATATCATGTAAGCAAGACATGGCCCCTCATGAAACTTAAGAGTCTGGAGAAGCAAGCAAGCACATAACTGCAATATGACCTACATCATAGCATAATAGGAAAAGCACATTATTCCAGAGGAGTGCAAAGAAAAGAGAAACAGCCTTGAGGAATCAACGAAGACTTCCTGAAAGAAGTGATGGGTAACATCTTGTATGGATACTTGAGGTCACAGGTTTTCCTTCAGAGATCAGGAAACCTCCATGCTTAGGAAAATCACTTTAATAATGATGACACTGGTATGAAATTGAAGCTTTCTCATTATATAACTTACTGAACACATTCTCTCATGTGACTTCTTTGCCCAAGTACCACCGCGGCTCACCACAGCTTCCTGAATGAAATCCACAGAACTTAAGACATCCACCAAGGCCTTCCGAACCTGCCTCCACTTAGCTTTCCCAGGGAATCTTCAGTCTGTCATCACCAGGCACCACACACCCCAACTCTATCAGACTGTAGTTACCCAGGCTTGTCAGATTCTTTCAGGCTTCCTTGATTGTGCCATTACCTCTGCTGGAAAAGCCTCTCCCATAATGCCCACTTTTGGTGTTATCCTCCTCTTCCATGTACACATTGGGCCTAGTCCCTACCCCATCACAGCACTGATACATGTCCTCTGTTGTGCTATTGTCATTCACCTATCTCACCTGAACTCCTTCTCAAGGGAATCTTTATCAATCCCGTTAAACACCCTAAGGTAATTCTCACCACAGGGCCTTTGCACATGCTATTCTCAGGGCCTGGAATACTTCTCTCTCACCCACCAGCACCACCAGACATCTGCAATGGCTTGTTCATTCACTTAAGTAAATCTCTACGGGGGTAACTTGCCTCCTGGAAAGCACCCCATCACTGCCCCTCAAGCTTCACTTTTCCTTATATTACTTCTCATACCTGGCGTACTATTCATGCATTCACGGGGTCGTCTATCTTCTCCAATAAACACTCGATGTAGAGACACTCTCGCTCGCCCCTATTCTTGGAGCCTGTAAATATTATCTAGTATACGTTATGGCTAGACAACCACTTATTGATAAACATTTGCTAAATGAGCAAATGTAGTAAACTTAACTAACTCCCATTCTGCATTCCTTACGGCTGGGGTCAGAGCAGCAGGAGAGTATTTTCCATCGGGGCAGAAAGGAATGAGGAGCTTCCAGAGAAGAGCTTGAAGCAGGCGAGTGACAGGCCCCGTACCTGCCCGCCGCCCTCCGGGAAAAGCAGCGTGTCTTCCAGCACCACATGGAAGCCGCGCAGCACCTCCTTCTTGCCGGCGCTCCCTTCGGTCTGCAGCTCGGCGGGCCGGCAGGAGAGCACGGTGGTGGTGAACTGCGCACGGGAGAGAGCGTGAGCCCGAGCCCGGCCCGCGGCGCCCCGGAACGCCGCTGCCTCCGCACCCCCGCCAGCAGCGCCCTCCTCCCCGCACCGCCCCGTCCGCTCGGCACGACCAGGCCCCGCGCCCCGCCGGCCGCACCTCCCGGGCGTAGCTGTCCCGCTGACACCGAAACGCCATCGCGGGCGTCTCCCGGGACGCCCGGCTCCGCGCACTGAGACGCCGGGGGCGGGGGGGTGGCGGACGGCGGCCGGCGCGGGACAATCCTGGGCGCGCGCGCGCCTTCGCGCAGAAGCAGGAGGGCGAGGCTTGGGGTGTGGTTTGGACACATCTATTGAAAATGCGACTTGCAGACTTGCCGGGTCTTTTTGGCCACTGTTACGAGGCTTTGAAAAGGACTAGAAGACGTAGAAAATAAAGCTTTAGCCTGGACGCGTCGAGGCACTTAGTGTAGCCCCCTGGGGCTCCAGGGGTGAATTTATTCCAGCCCCGGGGACTGCGGCTGGCTGGAGGAGGGGGTGGGACCGACTCGGAGGCACAGCAGCGCTCCCCTTTAGAAATGTAATGCAAGCCACGCGTTAGTGATATATTAAATGTAATGCAAGCGTTAGTGATACATTAAATGTAATGCAAGCGTTAGTGATATATTAAAACCAACATACCCAGGATATTATTTCATCATGTAATAGGCATTTAAAAATTAGTATTTTTCCCCTCTCCCGTTCAAAATCTACAAAACCTGATGTGTATTTTACATCTCAGTTCGTGCTGGCCACGTTTCAAGTACTCAGTAACCACAAGTGGCCAGTGTAGATAAAGAAAACAGACGTTAACTGCAATCAGTGTAGATAAAGGAAACAGAAGTTAAGTGCAATCAGCGCCGTATAAGGTTAAACGGATTAAAAATTTAAAGTCACCTTCTGCTCTATTAAGATAACTAATAAAAAAAATAAGATAACTAATAAAAAGCTTGAGGATTCCAATAGACTTTTTCAGATTTTCAGCAGTAATGCAGAGCAAATACCCTGTGTTATGTAACACGCTCCACTTGGAACTCAGGTTATCAGAGGTATTTAGATTTATGATGAAAAGTAAATACATTAAATGGAATAATATAAATAGCCTCACATAATGTTAGGCCAGGTTTTGCTGCCAAGTGAGTTTTGGTATCAATATGTTTTAAGTCAGTTTTCAGAACTTCAGTTTTCAGAATTGAGGATAAGGGGACATATGTTATACACGTTCAAGCCCCAACTTTTCTGCTTATTTTGTGACAATGTTTGATCAACCATGAAGACAAGACCTACTTAATTTATAAGGCTGACATCAGGTTTAAGCATTTAAATGAGATAATATGCAAATACTTAGTAAACTAAATCATGAAACAAATACATAACTTTGTATTATCCATTTTTCTTAAAGGGCTAATGTCAAAATGGGGAAAGACAGAGCACACATTAAAAGGAACACGAGGGCCTCCCCTGGTGGCGCAGCGGTTGAGCGCCGGGCTGCGAAGCTGCCCGCAGCCTCCGCAGCGCCGGTTCGATCCCCGGCCACGGGGTGAGGGTCCCACATGGAGCGCAGACCTCTCCTGCCGCCCGCTGCTCCGCTCAGCAGTGTTTCATCGGTCTGCCTGTTCTGCTCCCCACTCTGGCTCTGGTGAATTCTCTCACCCTCCCGTGCTTCTAACTGTACCCAGTGCTTGTATAAATAAATAAATCAATCTTTAAAAAAAAAATAAATAAATAAATAAAAGGAACACGAATCACTAATAAAAACAAACAGTGAACACTAATTAAAACCAAATTAAGGGCCTCTCCGGTGGCGCAGCGGTTGAGCGATGGGTTGCGAAGCTGCCCGCAGCCTCTGCAGCGCCGGTTCGACCCCCGGCTGCTCCCCGGCCACCGGAGGAGGGTCCCGCATGGCGCGCAGACCTCTCCTGCCGCCCGCTGCTCCCCTCAGCAGTGTACTTCGGTCCTTCTGCCTGCTCTGCTCCCCGCTCTGGCTCTGGTGAATTCTCTCACCCTCCCGCACTTCTGACTGTACCCAGTGCTGTATAAAGAAATAAATAAATCTTTAAAAAAAAATAAAAATAAAAATAAATAAATTCTCAGCACTATCAAGGAAAATAAAAATAAAAATAAATAAAAATAAATAAATAAAAAACAAATTAAGGTACAATTTTTTATCTGGGCAAATATCTAAAAAGTTTCTGAGAACGGAGCACTTTCATTGTTGGTGGGAGTGAGAACTGGTACAATTTTAAACTGGTACAATTTTATCTAAGAGCAACTTGGAAAAGCTATCAAAGTGTTTAACTATATCTACTCTACCTAGCAATTCCACTTCTAGAATTTACCCCACAGATGTTCTTGCCAAATATGTAAAGATCTACATTTCCAAATGCTCATTGTAGCACTGTTTGAAAATTGAAGAAGACTAAAAACAACCTAAATGTCCCTCGATAAGGAAACAGTTAAGTTATGGAAAATGTATTCAATGAAATGTCATGTAACAATGCAAACAAACGTTAGATCTGTTTATATTGATTTGGAAAGATTGCCAACAATATATTAAGTGAAAACTTGCAAGGTGTAAGGTGTACACAGCAAACCCACAGACACTGCATTTTCTTATGTGTTCAATTTTAACATCTATACTACAAAAAATACACGATGCTGCATGTTTCTATGCCATAAGTATAGTTTTATATATTAGATAATTATATAATAACACATATAACTATACAAATTAAAATTATATAACAGGTACTATGAAAATTATATTGTATATAATATGTATATAAATATTTATGTAGTCATATAATATTTTTGGAGAAACAGTTAATACTAGTTATCCCTATGAGGGAACAGATGCAAATTTTACTTTAAACATTTACCTTTCTATACTGTTTTAATATTTTAAACTCTGTCCACATATAAACTTACATCAATTTTAAAGCTGAATTTTTTTTTAAGATGTATTTATTTATTTATTTAATTTATTTGTTTATACAAGCACTGGGTACAGTCAGAAGCGCGGGAGGGTGAGAGAATTCACCAGAGCCAGAGCAGGGAACAGAGCAGGCAGACTGACGAAGTACAATGCTGAGGGGAGCAGCGGGCAGCAGGAGAGGTCTGCGCGCCATGCGGGACCCTCCTCCGGTGGCCGGGGAGCGGCCGGGGATCGAACCGGCGCTGTAGAGGCTGCGGGCAGCTTCGCAACCCAGCGCTCAACCGCTGCGCCACCGGGGAGGCCCTAAAGCTGAATTTTTTAACAAATGTAAATGCTTTATCATGGTTCAAGGGCAAACTTCAAGTATTGCATTTTGTTTAAGTCATAGTCTCTTGTACATATTGGGCACTTTAAAAATGTATGTGGAGGAATGGGATAGCTGATGAATGGAAGAGTAAACAGACATAAGTATTAAGCTATATAACAATAAGCTTTAAAAGTGCATAGAGCAGGAAGCTGAGGTAGTTTTCTAGTGTTTATAAAGATGCAGTTATTAGCCATATAGTGAAGGTCTAGATTCTGCTGTGAGAAATAGGAACACAGATTTGGGGAAATCACCCAGCATGGTTACAAAGCCTGCTCCCAATGTTTGTCTTCTTCCAACCTCAAGAACGAGGACCCAGATCTCTGATAACCACCCAGCCTTCCCCTTCAAAGGAACTCTAGAGAAAGAAGAAACTTGCCTCCTATAACTTGCCTTATCTATCTGTAAGAAGGAAAGAGACAGAGAACAGTTCCCAGAGATTTATTATAATCAATAGGTTGCTTCTTTGGCTTTTGCTCGATCAGGTCCACACGCATGCTTAAATACTACAGAGAGCCCTGCTGAGGGGCTCAAACACAGAGCTTACAGCCAGTAGGGAGGGAGTCAGCACCTACCAGTTTACTCCTCTCCTATGCTGTCATCTGATGCAGCAGACATAGTCAAGTGCTTAGGAAGAAGAAATAAATCATGAAGGAGGACCCTGAACACAGAGCTTCTAGGAAAGTTCAGAGGACCCTGGTGCACAGCCAAAGAGCTGCCAAAGACTCAGGCCATAGCTTTTCATGGAGCCTGGAACAGAGCCACAGCTTCCTTCCCATCTCCGCTGTCACAGAAAATTAACTGCTTGTTGCTTCAGCACTGTCAGAATCATCCTAGGGGGAAAAAAAGATAACAGAACCTATGCAATCTGCAAATAGTGAATAATTGTGTTCACAAATACTGCTCACTCCTTCATGCTCTCCAAGTTTTATTTTGGGATTTCCTCAATCACACAACTTCTTGGGAGGCTAATAAAGAAGGATTTATTTAAACTTTGGATAATAAAAGAAAGCCCTGGTCCTCAACAAACAGTACTGCATCGTACACCATTTAGTTTCAGAATTTAAATTAATGCTACTGCTTCTTACAACTGTAAAGCTATTCAATAGGCTCTGTTCTAGGATGGAGAAGTAGTGAGGAGATGAGAAGGAGGGTCTTGCTGGGGTTTTCTAAAGCGTAGAGAAACATTTCACCTCCTCTGTCAAAGTGAAAGTGGGTAAACATGCACTGAGAATTACTGCATGCTAGATACTGGGCCAGGAGCCTTTCTGGCACCTATTTTTAAGGGCCAAAAGAAAATTGAAGGGTTGACAGGTAGACTTTACTTACATCCAGGTCATCCATGGCAGGGGGAGTTTTCTTAGTGCTGACCTTCTGCAAAAGCTAGTGGGTAATGAAAAATAATCACAAGACAAGAAGGCCAAAGGAAGAAGCAACCAGCATATTGATGGACCACAGGAGAATATCCCAGCCAGACAAATGCCCCATCGTTAAGCCTCTAATACATCACTGGACAGAATGGAGAAAAGCAAATTTATCCCCTTTTTAAAAAGGAATTTATACATACAAACAGAACACCCTCCTTACTAATCCAGGTTGAGGTCTCTTAGTGTTTTTGCCATTTGAATAAACAGTCACTGAAATTCTGGAACCAAATAATGTATGACTAGGTGCAATTTACAGGGATTCAGTGATTTATTTTATTTTTTTTAAAGATTTATTTATTTATGCCTACAAGAACTGGAGTGTAGGCCAGAGGTTTGAGGGGTGAGAAGATTCACCAGAGACAGAGTGGGGAACAGAACAGGCAAAGCAACTGAAATCCACTGCTGAGGGGAGCAGTGGATGAGATAGGAGAGGTCTGCTGCATGATGTAGGTTAGCTCCCTGGCTAGAGATTGAACTTATGTTGTAGTGGCTGCTGATAGCTTGATAGCACTGAGACTTTAACCCCTGTGTCACCAGGAAGGCCCCTGATTTATTTTATGATGTTATTTTTATACTGCTTAGTTTGAGTTTCCTATAAATTTGTCTGGCTGAGGCACACAGGCACATATGCACAGGTCTGTGCGTGTGCGTGCGCATGCACTCACACACACACACACACACACACACAAGAATTACAAAAAAGTAGGAAAAATCTTTCCCAATTTTTTTTCAAAACACAGGCTCAATTCTGTGAACAGTGAATGAATTTATGTATATAATTTCAATAACAGAATATCCATTTTTCTCATCCCTACTAAATAAACAGTGCACAAAACATGTCAAGAATATCAGCACCCAGCCTCCCTGGTGGTGCGGGTGGTTGAGCACAGCACTGTGAAGCTGTCCACAGCCTCTGCAGTGCCGGTTCAATTCCCGCCATCTGAGGAGCTACCCACATGGCACAGCAGACCTCTCCTGTCACGCCCGCTGCTCCCCTCAGCAGTGTGTTTTGGTTGATCTGCCTGTTCTGTTCCCCACGCGGTGTCTGGTGACACACCCTCCCGCACATCTGGCCTGTGCCCTGGTTCTTGTATAAATAAATAAATCTTTAAAAAAAAAAAGAGTATCAGCACCAATGAGTGGCCTGTCTGGAGAGTTCCTATATGTCTGCCTGGCCCTGATGACAATACTCTGTGCAGGGAGACACAGAGAATGATCTCGAAGGGCAGAAAATGGCATTACCTCTGCATAATGTTCCACCTGAGCAAGCTCCATCTCTTCATCTCCTTCCCAGTCTCTCCAATTATCAAAGTCCACATTCAACCACACTGGCTGCAAGAGAAGCACAGAGAGTCAGAGACCAGGAGGGCAGCAGCAGATGCACACAGAAGAGTGTGGATGTGTGTAGAAGAGCATACATGGGGAAGAAGGCCAGTGGGTGCCCAGTCTTCCCAACAGCACCCCTTTGACTAACCACCCTGTGGGCTATCATGTCATTATCATCCACAGAGATTGATCAGAAACCTACTAGATGCCAAGCACAATGTCATTGTAAGGGATGGAAAAGCATAGAATTCTGCCCTCCAGGAGCAGATTACAAAGGAGATGCATAACCGGAGAGATAACTATGTCATAAAGCATGATAGGAGTCAACCAAGCGATATTCAAATGCCTGAAATCCAGAGAGAACATTGCTAAGAGAATCAATTGATCTTAAAAGTTCTCATCACAAGAAAAAAAATTTTTGTACCTGTGTATGGTGACAGATGTTAACGAGACTTACTGTGGTGATCGTGTAGTCATACACCTGAAACTAATATTATGTCAACTATACCTCAATAAAAATAAATGAACAAAATAAAAGCAAATAAAACTCAAATTACAAAACCAAAGAGTGAAGGCAATAGTGAAAAGACTAAAGTAAGGTGGAACGTGTGCCCCATTTATAGGTCCAGTGCTAGGCATGTGGGAATTTAAACCAGTGTGGGCAGAACCTCCATTTTCTTGGGGTAGCTGATATTCTGGAAATTTTTTTTTTTTTTTTTTTTTTTTTTTTTGTGTACCCTTGCCGGTGGCCGGGGAATGAACCGGCGCTGCAGAGGCTGTGGGCAGCCTCGCAGCCCAGCGCTCAACTGCTGGGGAGGCCCTATTCTGGATTTTTTTAGTGACATCTCTACATTTTTAATACGTCAGCAACTAATCAAAAAAAAATGTCAGTAATCGGTCAAAATAATTTTTAACATTAGGAAGATTGTTGAAACAAATGTGAGAGCCAAAGTCAACCAGCAGGCATCAGTGCTCAACCTTTAGGGAAAAAGAAGCCACTGGACAGTCCTAAGTGGGAAAGTGACAGGGTCAAGTCTGCGATTTAGACAGAACATGCTGAAAGCAATACAGACGGTGGGCAGGTGGTGGGGCTGAAAATATGCACCAAACCTCACCCAGGGATAGAGGTGTTCTGAATTAGGAAGAGATGAAGTAATAGGTTCAAGATTATATAAGAGGTGAATGAAATAGGCAGGACATGGGGAATGACTGGGTGTTGGTGGGAAAGGTAGCAAGGATGATTCTCAGACTTCCATTGAGACCTGGGCACATAGATAAAGAACACAAGAGGGAGTTTCCCACCTTGTAATCCTCTTTGGTGAGCCGGGGCCAGGCCACCTTTTCCTTCCATTTCCTCACAAAGCAAGTAATGGAGCGGCTAGAGCGCTTATCCTGGGAGTCCTGTCAAATAAAAAGCCTCATTCACAGGGTCTGGGGTTTACAATGAATCTCACTTCCCTGGGCCAACTTTCCCATCCATACCTTACTCCCACCTCATTCTTACCTTGCAGTTCACCTTGGCATAGAACTCAATCTCATTGTACAATTCCACCCCATCGGCATTCTTGCAGCTGATGAAATAAGACAGCTGAGGAGACTCTGGGAGCTGAGTGTTGGGGGCACTGGGAGAAAGAAAGGGTCTCCAGGCTCTCCAGAGGGGAGGCCCTTACCTGAACACAATGCGGTGGTCTTCGATGAGCACATGGACATCGGTGCTGTCCTCGACACAAAATTCCATGAACACATACTTTGGCCTGTCGTACCAGAGGGTCCGGGCATGCTGCCTGAAGAGGAGTTGCGGTGGGACTTCATAGGGGTGGCAGAGGCAAGACTGAGGGCATTTGGGGAAAGTGGAAGGAGGGGAAAATACAGGGACGTTTTATGCTACGGCCCTGCCAAAGTGGAGCTAAAAGACACAGAAGGAGGTGAAGGGGAGTGATGAGTGGGTGTGTGCAGTGAGGTTGAACCTAGCGAGAATCAAAAGAGCCTAGAGATGCAGGGGGTTATCACCATTCAAGTCACACTCCCCCTTCACCGTCCCAAAGTTAGAGACCTGAGCTTGGGGGTTCCCATGGGCCCTCGTAGGTCCTGGAGTGCCCTGGAAATGTGGGACAGGGAATCTCCAGGGAAAAGGACGACTGGAAAGACTTACTGTGCCATGGCGGCTCCCGCTGTCCTGTGGCGTTAGGAGTCAGAGGGCCACTATCTTTAGATTCTGGGGACGTCCCCAGCAGCTGCCTCTCCTTATATGGCAAGGGGAAGGGTTCAGGGGAAAGAGGATCGTGTTCCCAAAGCCAAGGGGTCCGCTCTCCGGAGGAACTCTGGGGAGCATAATCCCTGAAGCCCTTCGCATACCCGGGGTCTCCAGAAACGCACACAGTAGACGACTGATGTGCTGGACCTGGGCAGGCTACTAGGCGCAGTAAGGTGGAACTCTGTTTCTCCAAAGTTTATTACACTCAGCGCCTGATTCACAGTAGGCGCTTAATAGAAACGTATTGGCCCGAATTAAATCCCCGGGGAAGGCCCGCCCCGATGACGTATGAACCCCGCCCCGCCCCGCCCCGCCCACCCGCCCCGCCCCGCCCGCCCCGCCCCGCCCCGCCCCGCCCGCCTTCCCGGGCGGCGCGCCGTTGCCATGGCAGCAAGGGGGCGCGGCTGACGTGCGGCGGCGATTCCGGGAAGATGGCGGCCGTCGGAGCGGCTGCGGAGCCGGTAACTGTGGCGGCAGCCGTTGTGCCAAAGGCGAAGAACGAAGAGGAGGAGGAGGAGGAAGAGTCGCTGCCGCCGTGCGAGGCGGTGCGCTGGGCCCCCGTGGGGGCGGTGGCGGAGGCCGGGCCCGGGACGGCCGCGTTCTCGGAAGAGGCGGCCGCCGAGGAGGCCGGCGCGGCCCCGGGCTCCCCGCCGGACTCGCCGGCTCGGACGGTGCGGCGGCTGCGGGCCGAGCGGCGGCGCCTGGACTCGGCGCTGCTGGCGCTGTCTTCGCACTTCGCTCAGGTGCAGTTCCGCCTGCGCCAGGTGGTGCGCGGGGCGCCGGCCGAGCAGCAGCGCCTCCTGCGCGAGCTCGAAGACTTCGCCTTCCGAGGCTGCCCCCACGTCCTGGGTTACGGGGCGCCCGGGGACTCCGCGGGCGACGAGGGCGACGAGCCGCCGGGGGACTGGCCGCGGTTGCGCGGCGAAGACCAGGTGAGCCACTGGGGCTGGGCCTCGGGGACGTGAGAATCGGGCGGCTGGGTGGAGAGCGACAGTGGGAAGCGGACGGCGCAGGTGAGTCCGCGCGTCCCAGACTGGCGAGCAGACCGGAGGCTGGTTGGTGTGCGGAGCCTGTGCGGGGCCTGTGCAGGGCGAGCGCGCCCCGGGAACCTGAGGGTGAGGGGTGTGCAAAGAGACATGCAAGTGTGATCATGTGAGGAGCGCGCAGAGGTCAGCAAAAGGAGTATTGGGGGCCTCCCTGGTGGCGCAGGTGGTTGAGCGCGGCGCTGTGAAGCTGTCCGCAGCCTCTTCAGTGCAGGTTCGATCCCGGCCGGCCAGGGAGATACCTACATGGCACGGCAGACCTCCCCTGTCTCACCCGCTGCTCCCCTCAGTAGTGTATTTCAGTAGATCCGCCTCTCCTGCTCCCCACTCTATCTCTGGTAAATCCTTTCACATACACCCCCAACCTCTGGCCTACACCCCAGTTCTTGTATAAATAAATCAATTTTTTAAAAAGATTTATTTATTTATTTATACATACAAGCACTGAGTACAGTCAGAAGCGCGGGAGGGTGAGAGAATTCACCTGAGCCAGAGCGGGGAGCAGAGCAGGCAGACTGACAAAGGACACTGCTGAGGGGAGCAGCGGGCGGCAGGAGAGGTCTGCGCGCCATGTGGGACCCTCCTCCGGTGGCCAGGGAGCAGCTGGAGATCGAACCGGCGCTGCAGAGGCTGCAGGCAGCCTCGCAACCCAGCGCTCAACCCCTGCGCCACCGGGGAGGCCCAATAAATCAATCTTTAAAAAAAAAAAAAAAAAAAAGGGAGTATTGAGAGGGCTGCTCCGCTCACCTTGCTGGCACCTCTTAAAACACCTAAGTCCCGAACCCATCTGCTAGAGCACCCCCTCCTGGGGATTGGGAAAGTTGGTGAGTAAATTGTCTCAATACTAACTAGACCTCTGAAGAAATTGTTATGGAATTGTTATGGAAACCATAGCAATTTAGCTTTGATCCTGTCTGTGCCTTTCTGGACTCAAACGAAAGTGTTTAACCTCTAGACCTCTCGTTGGGTGAGAACTTTGGTAAACAGTGGGATCCCATAGTGATTGAAAGAGTCTATGAGAATCCTAAGGTTGATATTTTAAAACTTCTTTCCCATTCTGCTTAATAACTACATATTCTAAATGTGGTCCCTCTGGTAACTGTAGTAAGATAGATCCAGTTAGCCTACACTGGTAAGTAATGAAGATTGGTATACCATAGGAAGGGAATGTTTCCTTACAATTTTTCTGTCTCTGAAAGGGCAGAGATTGCTTGTCCATCGCTTGTTGGAGATGTTGAAAAGACTTGCTATCTTTTTTCCACCTTTTTATTCTTCAAGTTACAAATCACATATGGCTTTCTTCCCACTTAGATTTGTTTTAAGCAAGAAAACTTATCAGTAGCAGATATTGACTCATTTATTTTAATCTGAACAAACAGAAATTTTCCCTAGTTCTTTTCCCTGGACTGGTTAAACAACTTCCTCTAGTCAGAGTTCATTATTTAAAATGTGGGTTGTTTTTTTTTTTTTGCCTCCCCGGTGATGCAGCGGTTGAGCACTGGGTTGCGAAGCTGCCCGCAGCCTCTGCAGCACTGGTTCGATCCCCAGCCACCGGAGGAGGGTCCCACATGGCGCGCAGACCTCTCCTGCCTCCTGCTGCTCCCCTCAGCAGTGTACTTCAGTCCTTCTGCCTGCTCTGCTCCCCACTCTGGCTCTGGTGAATTCTCTCACCCTCCCGCGCTTCTGACTATACCCAGTGCTTGTATAAAAAAAAAAAAAAAATCCTTAAAAATAAATAAATAAATAATTAAATAAATAAAAATAATATGTGGGTTTTTTTTAAAAAGATTTATTTATTCATACAAGAGCTGGGGTACAGGCCAGAGGTGTGGGGGTGAGAGGACTCACCAGAGATAGAGTGGGGACTAGAACAGGAAGATCAACTGAAATACACTGCTGAGGGGAGCAGCGGGCAAGCAGGAGAGGTCTGCTGCGCCATGTGGGTAGCTCCCTGGCTGGGGATCGAATTTGTGCTGCAGTGGTGGTAAACAGCTTCATATGTTGCATCCTAAATCCTTGCGCCACCAGGGAGCTCCTAGAATGTGTTTTCTTAACTGATTCATTCAGTGACATATCACAAAGAGTGAGAACTTACCCATTGCCAGGCATTGTCCTAGGCATTGGGGCTGCAATGTCAAGGTCCTTGCCCTTAAGGACTTACTAATTGGGGGAGACACAATTCTAAGCAAATCCTATTTATAATGTGACATGAATTAGAGTGAAAGTGTGTACAAAGTACAGAGGAGGAAATGATCAGTTCTGCTTGAGGAAATCTTTGCTTATGGGATAACTAGGCTTTCACTAACTGGAGAGGGACAGGGTTCTTAAAAAAAAAAAAAAAAGCCAAGACATAAAGAAAGGATTGACTTGCTTTCATGTTGAGCAAAGATAAAGCAATTGAACTCTTTTTAAATAGCTTGAACAAAAAGTTAATTTGTTGTTTTTCATTTGTTCTCTCTCATACCTTGCTTCTGGAGGGCTTGGTAAGTACCATTTTGTGGTTAAATTTAATATCCTATAGATTTCTAGTTTAAAATGAAGCTTACACACTGCAGATGATCTGCTGGCCTTGGCAAGGAAGAACCAATGTTTCAGAATATATTGGCAAGACTGAACTACCTGGAAGGAATTTTAATAATTTTAATGGGGAAACTACCTGGTGGCCAACAGTGGAAAAAGGAATCACTGGTCAGGGAAACTGCTCAGACTTTTCTTTTTTAAAACATTGTTACCTTCCCACCCCACCTATTACTTGCTTTTAGTTACTCCAGACATCCTGCTATTACTCTTTAGATTTTGCTAAATCTGTAATAAATGAGAAAGGCTTTTGAATCTTAAGAAAACTGATTATAAGTTATAAAGCCTTTCTCTACACTGTCACCTCCAGATTTTCTTATACAATTTGACTGCAGAAAGTATTCAGGGGATTTTCTGTGGAAATTGCCTGTGGAGGCTGGAATGTTTAATTCCTAGGAGACTGACTTGGCTGAGATAAATTGCCTCAATCCTAACTAAACCACTGAAAAATAAGCCGTTTTAACAAAGGCTTATTAATATCCTATTGTATTCATAGCCTGTTCATATCCCTCTTCCAGTAAGTACAGAAATTCTTTCTTAAAGAAAACATTTAATAAATCGCCCTGGATGAATTAGTTATTATTTTTGGATCTGTCTTATGAATTCTATATTTCATTTGGATTATCTGGAAACATTTTTATTTTACTAGTTGTCATTGGCTTGAGAAAATTCTTAATGTGCCCTGAATCTTCCTTTTCCTGTGAAATAGACCTAAGTATTTTCTTGTCTTAGAGTGAGCAGGAGAAACGGGAACGACTGGAAACCCAAAGAGAGAAGCAGAAGGAACTGATACTGCAGCTCAAAACCCAGCTAGATGATCTGGAAACATTTGCCTATCAAGAAGGCAGTTACGACTCCCTGCCACAGTCCGTGGTCTTGGAAAGACAGAGGGTGAGCTGACATCTGAAGTGCCTCCACCACTACCTGAGGTTACCTTGCCCCTTCCAGTGAAAATCCTCTTTCTGGCCCAAATCAGGGGACCAGTCTTTATTCACACACGGAAACACAAGTTCCAAAGCTTTGTAATAGGATTGCATGCTTTCTTTTTGGTGTTTATTAATAAGCATAATAGTAGTAATGCATAATAATAATTTCTTTCATGTGGTCATTAAAACAGTTCTACTTGGGGGCCTCCCTGTTGGCGCAAGGGGTTAAGTCTCAGCACTATCAGGTTATCAGCAGCCACTGCAGCACAAGTGGGTCCCCAGCCAGAGAGCTAACCCACATGGCACAGTAGACCTCTCCTGTCTCACCCGCTGCTCCCCTCAGCAGTTATTTCTGTCAGTCCACCTATTCTGCTCCCTACTCTGTCTCTGGTGAATCCTCTTACCCCCTTTTTCCTCTACCCCGCATCTCTGGCCTATACTCCAGCTCTTGTATGCATAAATAAATAAATCTTTTAAAAAAAAACCAAAACACAGTTCTACTTGGACACATCTTTCAATGTAAATTAGCTTTTTTCTGCCACCTACCACCAGTTAGTAAATATTCAGGCCTCCAGACTGATTGAATGCAGTCACATTGTTACGTGTCACTTAAGACAAGGATGCATCGTTAGGCAATTTTATTGATGTGTGTATGTCATAGAATGTAGTTACACAGACCTGAATGGTGTAGCTTGCTACCCATCTAGACTATGTGGTATATAACCTATGGGAACCATCGCTGTATATGAGGTTAACAGTGCATAACTGTACTATATGTATCTTGAGACAGGCAAATCTGCTGGTATAAATGTAGTCACAGTATCCCCTACATGTTTCTCTCCCTGGGATGTGGCTGTTTTTTTGACTGGCTGGAGTTACATTATTTGGATTTCAGATTGTTCCTAATAATGTGAATAGGGTATTTTGTCTGTAATGTGCCTTGATGTTTCATAGAGATATTTTTCTTTAGTTGCCTCAAGGCAAGAAGGGATGAGAAGGACCAGAAACTAAGGTAAATCCAAATTCTTTTGGAGGCCTTGGGGAAAGCCAAACATGAAGCTTTCTGGGTAGTCAGTCACTTTGGATTATTCACATTGTTGTTCTCCTGAGGCAAAGCTGCCAGACCTGATAGAAACTTTGCAGTAAGAGGAGCTATTTCTGTCTGAGACCAAGGAAGGGTTCTTGTCACTCTAAGAAGTAAAGGATTGGTGCCCTCAGTTTGGTCAGCAATTATATTTCTCTCACAATTTCAGGCATTCCATGTGTCTTTAATTTCAAGGTAGAAAGCATACTAGTTAAGTATGCTCCCAGCCCTCTCATTGAAAATTCCAGAGGGTGTGCTCATTACTTGTGGTCTTGCTAGGTGATCATAGATGAGTTAATAAAGAAATTGGACATGAACCTGAATGAGGACCTCAGTTCACTGTCTCCGGAAGAGCTGCGACAGCGTGTGGATGCAGCTGTGGCTCAGATCGTCAACCCCGCCCGAGTTAAAGAACAGTTGGTGGAGCAGCTGAAAACTCAGATCCGAGACCTCGAGATGTTCATCAACTTCATCCAAGGTTCAGAGGAGGGGATGGGAAGGAAGGGTGGGCAGATGTCATATTAGATGTATTCTGAGTACTAATACCTAAAGGCGCCAGTTTTGATGTGCTGATTATTTAAGGAACCGGCAGGTAGAGTGGAAAGAACATGGATTTTAGAGGCAGAGAGTTTAAAATCCTAGCTCTGCCTTTTGCTGGCTGTGTGTCCTTGGGCTGGTTACTAACCTCTTTAGTCCCATTCTCCTCATCCACAAAATGATGACTCATGCTTCATTCATTCAGTAAATATTAAGCCAGCTACTTGTACTAGTCACTATTCCACACAATTAAGGTACAATTTGTAAAAGTCTTTTTGGGTGGTAAGCCTACTAAATATTTTTCCTTGAAATATCTGCCATAGGGCCTCCCCGGTGGCGCAGCGGTTGAGCACTGGGTTGCGAAGCTGCCCCGCAGCCTCTGCAGCGCCGGTTCGATCCCGGCTGCTCCCCGGCCACTGGAGGAGGGTCCCACATGGCGCGCAGACCTCTCCTGCCGCCCGCTGCTCCCCTCAGCAGTGTACTTCGGTCCTTCTGCCTGCTCTGCTCCCCGCTCTGGCTCTGGTGAATTCTCTCGCCCTCCCGCGCTTCTGACTGTACCCAGTGCTTGTATAAATAAATAAATAAATGTTTAAAAAAAAAAAAAAAAGAAATCTCTGCCATAAAGTGGTTGGATAAGCATCTCTTCTTTGTAAATTCTGATTCCAGATGAAGTGGGAAGCCCCTTGCAGACAGAGAGTGGACACTGTGAATGCAAGGCCAGTGGACAGATGGGGAATGGCTCCACGAGAGCTGGCAGCAGCAGACTGCCTCCAGGAAACAGCAAACGTAAGTACAACTTCTAGAAGAGCAAGTGGTGACCCAAGGTTTGGGGCGTTGGGGAGAAGCGGAGAGTGGAAAATGCTAACAGTACAGGGTGTTTTAGGGGGTGATAGTTGCACAATTCATGAATATACTAAAAACGCTTGAATTGTATTACGTGGATGAATTGATGGCATAGGAATTATATCTCAATGCAGCTGTTATTAGCCCAAAAGGAAGCAAGTGCAGCTACATCCTAGGTAGTTTTTGGCTTCATGTGAGACTCATATTGTAGCTCAGAAGCAAGTCTTGGGCTCAGTTTGTGACTTCTTGAATGCATCTCTGTGCCTTTACTCTCACTGATGAGTCATTGTGTTCTAAATAGTAAAGGCAGAAGATGTGAAGAGAGTTCGGGAGACGGGACTGCACCTGATGCGGCGGGCACTGGCTGTGCTCCAGATCTTTGCTGTTAGCCAGTTTGGTTGTGCTACGGGCCAGATCCCACAAACCCTGTGGCAGCGGGGCCAGGCCGACAGGGACTACTCTCCCTTGTTGAAGAGGCTGGAGGTATCAGTGGACAGAGTGAAGCAGCTGGCTCTGAAGCACCAGCCACATGACCATGTCATCACCTCTGCCAACCTCCATGACCTCTCTCTGGGAGGTAAGGATGAGCTGACCATGGCCGTGCGAAAGGAGCTGACAGTGGCCGTGAGGGACCTGCTGGCCCATGGACTGTACGCCCCCTCACCAGGGATGAGCCTGGTCATGGCTCCCATTGCTTGCTTGCTGCCAGCCTTCTCCTCCACCCCTGAGACCATGCACCCCTGGGAGCTCTTTGTAAAGTACTACCACGCAAAGAATGGCCGCGCTTACGTGGAGTCCCCAGCCCGGAAGCTCTCCCAGTCCTTTGCCCTGCCTGTTATGGGAGGCACCATTGTGACCCCCAAGCAGAGCCTGCTGACAGCCATCCATATGGTGCTGACAGAGCACGACCCTTTTAAGCGAAGTGCAGACTCAGAGTTGAAGGCCTTGGTGTGCATGGCACTCAATGAGCAGCGTCTGGTGTCCTGGGTGAACCTCATCTGTAAATCAGGGTCACTCATTGAGCCCCACTACCAGCCCTGGAGCTACATGGCACACACAGGCTTTGAGAGCGCCCTCAATCTGCTTAGTCGCCTCAGCAGCCTCAAGTTCAGCCTCCCTGTAGACCTGGCCGTGCGCCAGCTCAAGAACATCAAAGATGCCTTTTGATGGGAATGCCCTGGCCCTAGACCAGCACCTTGCTCAGTAGGATAATGGCTAGTCTTCTAGGATAGGAGCAAGGAGTTTGAGAGGGCTAAAGACTCTTTTCCTGCCAAATAACTGCAATGCTTCTTTTCCTCACCGACTTAGCAGCCCAGACAGATAAGCTAGAGACCCTTTTTTTAAAAGGGTCTGCCCTGGCATGTACACAACAGTGTACAGGTGGGCACACGTTTGAGTTAACCCACCAATGTGTCGGATCATATGTGATATTAGGAAAGCCCAGTTACTCTCTCCCTGGCAGTGAATGGCAGTGGGAGTGAGTTCATCCTAGGAGATATCCAGCTTGAGGTTCCTGTTATTTCAGAGCCATCTTCCTTCACTTGAGACGGGCTTGAGAGAATCCAAAGGCCAGTATTTCCCTTCCTCTTACAAATAGTGATGCCCCTTTCTTCTTGACAACAGGGTCAGGGGAGCCTGTGTATATTCCATAGCTGCCTCTAAATAAAACTTGGAATGGAAATATCTATGAACAGGTTTTCTAAGGGAGTTAACCACAACTTGATTTTAATATGAGCCCTTTTTTATGTAAAGGGGAGAACTGAAATGTGTTCCTCATAAGGTAGTCTCCTCCTCACAGCACAGACATGTCTTTTGGCTTTGGAGGTGGTTGTTTGTGAGGAATAAGAACCATTACCGGGTGCCATGTCCTCTGGCAAGTAATCTCTTCTCTGCACCTCAATGGATTCTGATATCATCCTTTCAGAAGGAACAGTGTTAGAGGTAAACTCCTTGAGAGAACCCTTGCCACCAGAGGCCAGCGTGGAGAGGAATATACCCCAGTGACCAACAGCAACTCCTCCCAGGGGTGAGACTCACCAGGCACCGCTTGTCCTGAAGGCTGGATGATGGAGAAAGTCTGGTCATTGACTCGGTACTACAGCTGGAGTGGGAACTACAGCAGATCACTGTTGACAGGCACAGGGCTAAGCATTTCAGTGGAAAACTGATGCTAGGCTGGTCCTATGTGGTCTATAGGGTTTTAGCCTTTTTTGTTCATGTGTCACTCAGCTTGCACACTGCTCTGGGGCTGACCAAAGATCAGCAAAGTGTATCACTTTCTGGAAAACCAAGTGGATTCCCAAGACTACTGATTCAGCGTTGTTTAATGTATTCAGTTGCCAGCTGCACTTTGCGTCTGCACTATTAATAAAGTGCATTTTAACTTATTTTTTTCAACAACCTGTTATTTATGATGTATTATTGATAATTTACTAGAATTAGTCCTCCTATGTGAAACAGGATAAGTGTAAAATGTTGTGAACAATGATATATCTGTGGTTGCCAATAAAATGATAGTATTTTGTGTAGCTTCTCTGCAAAAACCTTCAAGACCGTTAGCTTTGGTTTAAAAGTCTGTCTGGGTATTATCAGCTCATCTGATCAAGATCAGTATTTCCTTAAGTTATGTCTGGCTCCTGACCTTTCTGTCTCTTTTCTGATCTCTGCCCTGGATCAACTCAACTTTGTTGGCATTTATATTTCCTCTTGAACAAATTCACTGAAAACTGCCATTGGCATTGCCGCCCCTCTCACCAAGGCTTACAGTGCCGTCACCATGACAAATCTACAAAACATTGTTAAAGACTTCTAAGGTGGTCTGCATTCATTCTTTCATCCTTGGGTGCCTACCAACTCCTGGCCAGGCTAGATGCTAAGGAAAATGGTAAAACATACTCGGCCCTCAAGGAACACAATCCAGCTAAGAAGACACCCAACACCTGGCAATTTAGGTAGCCTATTAACACACACATGCTGGGTCCCATCCCCAGAGTAAATTCAGTAGCACAGGGGTGGGGCCGGAGAATTTGCATTTCTAACACGTTCCCATGTTTGTTATGCTGCTGGTCTGGGAACCACAGTGATCCAAACTAATCGAGCTGCGCTCTATAATCAAGGTAAGTGTGGGTTGGTTTGCTAAGGGGACCAGGGAAGGAAGAGATTCTGTCTGGGAGAATTCTGGAGTCCTTAAAGGGTAGGTAGGATTTGGATGGAACTTTCATCTAGCTACAGTGAAGGAGGGGAGAATAAGTACACATGCAACAAGCTGAGTAGAGACCCCAGAGCTCAGAAGAGGTTGGGTCTTTGTGGATTTGAGCGGGCTAGAACCCAGAGAGGTACACAAGGAGTGTGAAGTCAGGAGCTTGTGCTGAAGGGAAGAAGTGAGAGAGTTCAAACTTTAGTATAGCAAGCCAGCGAAGGAGTTCAAGCAGTTAAGTGGTGAATGTGGAGTTGTATTTAGGGACATTTTTCAAAATAAGATCTATAGATCTTACCACTGTACTTCAGACCTAAATCAGAGTATCTTGGGTTGGAGATGCATCTTTAATTAGCCTCCCAAGCAATTATGACCCATTCGAAAGTATGAGGAGAAACTGGACAAGAAAAAGCTGAAATTGGATAAGTTAGGGAGCAGGCAGGGGAAAAAGGGAAGATTTAAAAGACAAGGCAAAATTCACAGAATTTAGTTACTAATTTGATTTGAAGAGTGTTAGTAGGTGAGAAGAGTACAAGGCAGTAAGATTTAGGATTTGGTTTCTGTGTTCCCAGAAAGAAACAGCAAAGAGGCAGAAGTAGATAAGAGAAATAATGGAAGACCTTAGAGATGGTAATGAACAGAGCAGTGTGATGTATGGGAAAAGCACTGGGTTGAGAATGGGGAGACCTTGTTCTGTGCACCCATTCCGTGACTTTTCTGCCCTAGAATTCATCTTTGAGAGATCAGGATGATCTCTGAGGTCACTTCCAACTGTAAAATGTCATGCCAAATTAAACCAGAAAATATTTTAATTGAATGTAGACATATAAATACATAGTATGATAAACCACTGGAGTGGAGTTTCTGAGGGCTGCAGGGAAAATTGATCCCTGGAGAACCTTAAGAAAAAAACTTGTTGAAACCCTCATTTTCCCCTTATCTTGCCCGAGATTAGTTTTGTTCAGTAAGCAAAAATCTAATATTTCTTTCTCCTAAACTGAAAAGATGTGCAAGGAACTACCTAAATCATTTCCAAAAATAGTTAATTTAAAAAAATTTTAGGTTCAAATAATTCCATTTGAGAGCCAGCTAGACCTGGGTTCAGGCATAGATTCAAGTCCTATCTATGCAACTGATCAGTGACCCTCACCTAATTTATCCTTTCTGAACTTCAATCTCCTCAAGCCTAAATGGAAGGAACATATACCAGATATATAGAGTTGTGTGAATTAAATAACCTGTCGACTTAAAAGTTGGGCCTCCCCTGGTGGCGCAGGCGGTTGAGCGCCGCGCTGTGAAACTGTCTGCAGCCTCTGCAGCGCCGGTTCCATGCCGGCCAGCGAGGGTCCCACATGGAGGGCAGACCTCTCCGCCCCTCAGCAGTGTATTTCAGTCAGCCTGACTGTTCTGCTTCCCATTCTGTCTCTGGTGAATCCTCTCACCCTCCCACGCATCTGGCCTGTACCCCAGTTCTTGTATAAATAAATAAATCTTTAAAAAAAAATATGTAGAAGTGCCTGGCACACAGTAGGTGTTCAATTTAGTAACAGGTGTAAAAGTATGGGCTCAAAAGTTGAACTGCTTTGATTCTGAGTCCCAGCTCCACCATTTACCAGTTTGGCACAGGTAAACCTCTGTGCCGGCCCTTAACTGTTCATTTTAGTCTACGATGTCAATGTCTGGGGCTCGTGCCCTTGTTTGGTTAATACTTGTCTTTCCCTCCTTAGGGCTAGCCACCCGTGCACACACTGCTGACGCTAACATATGTACTATTTTGTTCCCAGTTTTGTTTCTGAAACGGAAAACTAACACTGAACCCCTACCCACGCCCCCCTTGCGTAAGCGAAGAGAGCTGCTACCACCAAGCAGGCAGCGGCGCCGCAGTGTGAAAAGACCGCTGCCAAATAAGCCTCCCTAGCTCTTCCACCCGCGCGTGCGCGGCAGGATTAACTACGCTTGTCTACTGCGGGAGCTGTTGATAAAGTTTGATTTGAATAAACGAGCTGCCAGGCCCTGCTTTCTCCCTTAAGCTTCTTCCGCCCTCAATACAGACGCTGAGTGCACACGAGAAGCTTGGCGAGACTTACGGGGGCGGAGCCGGAAGTGACATCACCGCTCCCCGGGGTGAAAGGTTAGCGGAAGTGCTGGTCTTTCCTTTTTGCTGTAGGCCCGAGTAGTTGCTGCTGGTAAGTAGACTTGGGCAGGGTCTCCCAATCCATCGCCATCCGCGGCCTGGGCGTCGAGTCCAGGGGTGCGTCGTGTGCTTTCGGTTCCTCGGTCTCTGGCGGCTTCGGAGTGGACACTGTCCTGCGATCAGGGTCCCGCGGGCGACGTGGACTAAAACGCCCGTGAGCGCAGCCTGAAGTTCCGCGCCCAGATTCTGGGCTTGCGGTCAGGCGTCGGCTCCCGGGGCTTTGGCCCTACGGATTCTTAGCGGCCCTTTCTCCTTCTTCTCTGCAGAAATGGGCAAGTTCATGAAACCCGGGAAGGTGGTGCTGGTCTTGGCCGGACGCTACTCCGGACGCAAAGCGGTCATTGTGAAGGTATCGGCCTCAAGAGCCTCTGCGCCCGTGCGTCTCGGGAATCGGGCGGGTTTCAGAAGGTTGGCAAGCCCCCTGGTGTGGGGGCTTTTGCCACTGAGCATTGGGGGAGGGCGGTGAATGCAGGAAGGCTTTAGGGAGAGGAATATGCAAAATAACAAATGTGCCTTGAAATGGGCACCAATCACGTACGCGTCCGGTACCAAAGAGACTTTAAGTTGCATCCAGCGTGTACTGAATGTTTGCTTGGTGCCTCGTCTACTGCCTTACGTGTTGTCATCCAATTCTGGCTGTAACCGTAAGGGGATTCCCTTCCACTGCTGAGGTTCAGCGAGGTTCGGTAGTTGACCTGAATCAAGCAGGTAGGAGGTGCAGCGCCTGGGATTCTGCTAAAAGAGATTATTTCCAGTCAAAATGGTCGCTTAGCATTTCAGCCCTTCACTATTTGCCTTCGCCTTACGATTCGTGGTATCTTGACCTCGCCATGGTCTTTCACATTATAGCACCACTGCTTTGACTGGGTGACACCAGGCTACACCTGTTTTCCTCCATCTACCTACTGTCAGAATCTGGAGTGAGGCTGAAGTTCTGGAACCGTGCCTCTGCCCCTTACTAGCAGTGCACCTGTGCAGGAAGTTACAAATGTCAAATGCTGACAACCGATGCTTGGCATATATCAAGCACACTCCATAAATGTTAACATTTGTTAATATTTCTAAAATCTCTTGCCCCACAAGAACCTTTCTGAATTTTTCTTGATGGACTATGTAATGCCCTTGATTTTACTATTTTTGGGGCATCTGCGAGCACCTAGTGTCTAGTTTGTGTGGCTTTCTCTTTTATAATAGTGGGTCTCAGAGCAGCGGGGGGTGGGGGAGGGAAGGTGGGTATTTTTATTTTTTAAGAGGCTATCATTTCTATACGTGCCCTATCTGTATCTGCACAAGGTATGAGAGACTCTTGGTTAATAACAAATACAATTCTTGCTCATTCAGAACATTGATGATGGCACCGCAGACCGCCCTTACAGCCACGCTCTGGTGGCTGGAATTGATCGCTATCCCCGCAAAGTGACAGCTGCCATGGGCAAGAAGAAAATTGCCAAAAGGTCAAAGATCAAGTCTTTTGTGAAAGTGTATAACTACAATCACCTCATGCCCACCAGGTGAGCATTTTGAGAATGGGACTGGAAGTACTTCTTTCTTCCTCTTTCCACTGTTGAATAAGGAGACAGCCTTGCAGCCATTCCAATGAGGAAGGAACATCATTTTCAGTTTGTCACTTACAAAGTGGCTGTGGTCTCTGAATCTTAGTCTCTTTTTTCCATCCACAGTAAACATAGGCACGGTATCTAGTCTGCCGCCTTCCAGAGTTCCACTCACCAGGATAGTTATTATAAGCTTCCAAGAATAGTTGGTAAATTAATGAAAGCAAGTCTCCCCTAATTCCACTCAGCTGCTGAGCCACTTTTAGCCTTTCATAATATTGTGCAGTACATACACAGTCTTGGTACTAGAGCAGTTTTAGAAGGAAATACAAGATTGGAAAATCCTGAACAAAAATACCCAAAACCCAGCAGCATAGCCCTTAACATTTGCTACTAGGATTGTGTGTAAAGATGCAGAGCTGTTTCCGGGTTCTGGAAAGCGGTGAGACAGTTTGTGTGTTCGTGTTTTTTTTTTTGTTGTGTGGGTTTTTTGTTTGTTGTTTTAAGATTTATGCATAGAAGAACTGGGGTGTAGGTGGGGGGGTGAGAGGATTCACCAGAGACAAGAGTGGGGAGAACAGGCTGATTGACTGAAATACACTGCTGAGGGGAGCAGTGGGAGAGACGGGACAGATCTGCTGTGCCATTTGTGGATCAGCTCCCTGGCTAGGGATCAAACTCAGGCCACAATGGCAGTAGCATGACAGTCCTGAAACTTAACCCCTACGCCACCAGGGATAGCTGCCCAATTTTTGCATCAGTCGTGATGAGATTGACCCTGCCTGAGTCTGAACAGAAAGCTAGCCAGTTAACCGTGGTCATAAAGAGGTACTTCTTGCCTAGAAACAATGGTTATAGAAAATTAAGCATGAATTGTGTTTCCAATTGCTAGAATCTATGGAAATGGGTATTACAATTGAAGGTTCGAAAAATATCCTCAGGACTTTGGCATAGCTTTTGATGATTGCTCCTGGTGCCCCCCAATGTCCCAGGAGTACTTAGGGGCTATGTGAAGGTCCTGGCATGTGGACTGGTCCTATCTCCCTGTCATTGCCCCAGGTACTCTGTGGATATCCCCTTGGACAAAACTGTTGTCAACAAGGATGTCTTCAGAGATCCTGCTCTTAAACGCAAGGCCCGACGAGAGGCCAAGGTCAAATTTGAGGAGAGGTAAGTAGGTTTAGATGGTGGGTGTTGGGGTATGGCTTCACTATTTTCCATGAAGGGAATTTTGTTGTTCCTGTCCTCATTGGTGTCCTTTTTTTCCTCTCTAGGTACAAGACTGGCAAGAACAAATGGTTCTTCCAGAAGCTGCGATTTTAAATGTTTTGCTTTGGTCATTACAAATACAAAAAAAAAAAAAAAATGTGTCTGCCTGCTACTTGTATTATTACACTAGGAAAGAACATTCATGATAGATGGTGGGTATAGGACTGTGGGGAAATATATATGCTAAATCTCCCTTTGTGAGATGTGGACTTTCTGTCTTACCCTGACAACCCTTTCATGGCCCAGCTGCCCTCTAGGTACTAAAGTGTGATCTAATGAACTTTGCCAAAAAGGGCTATTCCTGACATTTTTTGGTGTAGGGTTAGTTGGCATTCCTGGCTTCAACTCCTGCAACCTTGAGGACCTGAGCCACTCCCTGCCATCCCTGACTATGACAGCCAAAGGCCCCTCTGAGCAGGTACTGGTTGTTTTGGCTTACAAACCCCTAACCTGGGGTTTGTTAAACCAGAGACCCATCTCCTGCAAGTAAGAGTTAGTAGGATTTCTGTCAAGTCAGTGATGAGGACTACACTAGAGAGCTACAGGCAGCAGACTGGTGAGGGGTGTGATTCAGAGGGCTTGGGCCCTGAGTTGTGACACCACTGTTGTCAGGAAAGGCATTTGGCCTCTCAGGATAGCTAACTGAGGTAAGCTCTCTGGCTATTAAAATGCATCCCTAACTGCCCCAAAGACAATTCTATAACCACCTCAGGAGCTCATTTTCCTGGAGTGTGGTCCATAGTTTTCATTGGAGACTCAAGGTCCTGTGACCCCAAAGTAAAGCAATTCTGAAGGCTCTGGACAGAAGCAGGATTCCATTTGCTAATCTTTGCACTTCACACACTTCCTCCTGTGATGATGAGAGGAAAGTGAGAAAGGGACATGGTAATAAAAAATCTGGACTAGGTAAAAACAAAACATATTCTATGCTTCATGTTTTTATGTTTAACTTCTCACATTTCCGTATTGGGTATCTATTGAGATAGGCTCCTGTTTTTTTGGTTTTTTTTTTTAATAGAGGCATGTTCTATTTGTTTGTTTTGTTTATACAAGCACTGGGTACAGTCAGAAGCGCGGGAGGGTGAGAGAATTCACCAGAACCAGAGCAGGGAGCAGAGCAGGCAGAAGGACCAAAGTACACTGCTGAGGGGAGCAGTGGGCGGCAGGAGAGGTCTGCACACCAAGCGGGACCCTCCTCTGGTGGCCAGGGAGCAGCCGGGGATCGAACCGGTGCTACAGAGGCCGTGGGCAGCTTTGCAACTCAGCGCTCAACCGCTGCACCACCGGGGAGGCCCGAGATAGGCTCCTGTTAAGTAGCTTACCTATTTAGTCACAAGTGGAACTAAATATAAGTGTTCCTTCAACTAAATATCTGAATTTTTGCCATCCTATCTCATCCTCACTTCTAGCAGTGTGGCCTTTGGCAAATTTCTATGCTGTGCTTCAGAAGTTTAGGATCTCCTCTATAAAATGAAAAAGAACCAACTCCCTGGGGTTTTATTTATTTTTTTTAAAGAGGCATGTTTATTTTTTTATTTGTTTGTTTTGTTTATACATGCACTGGGTGCAGTCAGAAGCGCGGGAGGGTGAGAGAATTCACCAGAGCCAGAGCGGGGAGCAGAACAGGCAGAGGGACCGAGGTACACTGCTGAGGGGAGCAGCGGGCGGCAGGAGAGGTCTGCGCGCCATGTGGGACCCTCCTCTGGTGGCCGGGGAGCAGCCGGGGATCGAGCGCCGCAGAGGCCACGGGCAGCTTCGCAACCCAGCGCTCAACCGCTGCGCCACTGGGGAGGACCCCTCCCTGGGGTTTTAAAGATTGAGTAAACCTGGGTCTCCCTGGTGATGCAGGGGTTAAAGTCTCAGCACTTCAAGCTATCACCAGTTTCTGAGGCACAATTGCAGCCCCCATCCAGGGAGCTAACCCACATGGTGTAGCAGACCTCTCCTGTCTTGCCTGCTGCTCCCCTCAGCAGAGTATTTCAGTAGATTCACCTGTCCTGCTCCCCACTTTCTCTGGTGAATCCTCTTACCCTCCACACTTCTGGTCTACACCTCAATTCTTGTATGTATAAATAAAATCTTAAAAATGCATTGAGTTGGGGCCTCCCTCATGGCGCAAGGGATTAAGCACAGCACTGTGAAGTTATCTGCAGCATGAGTTCCATCACCTGCCTGCCAGGGAGCTACCCACATGGTGCAGCAGACCTCTCCTGTCTTACTCGCTGCTCCCCTCAGCAATGTATTTCAGTCAGTCTGCCTGTTCTGTTCCGCACTCTGTCTCTGGTGAATCCTCTCACCCCCTGCCTGTTTTTTTGTTTGTTTGTTTGTTTGTTTTGTTTATACATGCACTGGGTACAACCCTCTGGCCTGTTCCGCAGTTCTTGTAAGTAAATAAATCTTTAATATATATATAGGGCCTCCCTGGTGGCGCAAAGGGATTAAGCACAGCACTGTGAAGTTATCTGCAGCACGAGTTCGATCACCGCCTGCCAGAGAGAAACCCACATGGCAAGGCAGACCTCTCCTGTCTTGCCCACTGCTCCCCTCAGCAGTGTATTTCTGTCAATCTGCCTGTTCTGTTCCCCACTCTGTTTCTGGTGATCCTCTCACCTCCCGCATCTCTGGCCTGTACCCCAGCTCTTGTGTGCATAAATAAATCTTTTTATCAACAAGCAACTATAAACCAGAGACACACTGGGTGGGGGGAGGGAGGGGCGGGGAAAGGAAGGACTAGAGTCAAAATAAGGGGAAAGGGGTGCAATTTTATGGGGAATATAACCAAAATGAAAATGCATACATTGTGCAAAGATGAAAAAAGATGTAAGAATTATATAAAATAAAATTTAAATTTAAAAAATAATCTTTTAAAAAATATATGTATATGTATATACACACACATATAGTTAACCTGTAAAGCATTGGGCATTTAACACAATTACCTGTAAAGCAATCAGTATTGGGCACTTAACACAATTACCAACAAGTGGTGGAGGGGCTTTATCTGCTTTGATGTTATTTCTCATGCAACTCGTAATGTCTGCCTGAACCCAGCATCATTCTAGGCGTTTGGGAAACACCCATTAACAAAAGCAGACAAAATTCTACTAATGGATTTGTGCGGAGCTTGATAGACTGAGAATGAAGGGCAACAGGAGCCTGCTTTCACTTTGCAATTGCTTCTAGTACAGCTTATCCTGCGTGAGGCCTCAAAGCTATGAAGGCCCCTCCCAGGGGAGGGGAAACCATCTAGGGTGGGTGTGAACACTGAAGGCAGAGTTCTCAGAAATGAAAGTGCAAGTAAAGAGCTGGTTGTGAACGGTGGGGCTCAGAAGTGTGTACACCAACAGGCCTCAGAAGGTAGTTTAGTTTTGGTGGACCCTGCCACTTTGTGCCCAGCCCTGAAGCCTTGGCTCTTTCCAACCGGACCCCAGGCCCATGGCAATGGCCCAAGAAGTCGTAAGTGAGGAGGAATGTGTTTGGGGTGGGAGCTGCAGAGGAGCGCTCTTGCTTTGAGGCTGGGTGTCTGCTGGTGTCTTGAGGTCTAACGGACAAGTCTCTCCCTGCTCATCTCAGACCTACTGACGTTCTGGGGACAAACTGCTAGGATTTCCTCCCCCCTTCGGAGTTGCTCCCTAGTCATTGCCTCAAAGGCAGGTTTATAACCTGCACCACAGGAGCTCCATTAATTCCTTGTGTGAATGTGCATTTTTCGGAGAGAGAATTCAGTTTCATTAGCTATTCAAAGGGTTCTGTGACCCCAAAACTTTCAGGATTTTTCTTTTAAAAAAAAAAAATTATTTATGCATACAAGAACTGGCCAGAAGTGTAGGGGGTGAGAGGATTTACCAGAGACAGAGTGGGGAGCAGAACAGGCAGACACACTGAAATACACCGCTGAGGGGAGCAGTAGGCAAGACAGGAGAGGTCTGCTGCCATGTGGGAGGCTCCCTGGCCAGCTCTGGCTCAAAGTAGTGCTGCAGTGGTTGGCGTTGGGGAAAGCTTGATAGTGCTGTCTTTAACCCCTGTGCCACCAGGAAGGCCCACGAGGATTATTACTGTAGTCTTGTTTACAATAGGAAAAAAAAAAGCAATTGACATGATCAAAATAGAAGACTAGCTAAATAAACATAAAATATTATGTAGCAATTAAAGGACTAATGAAGAACATTTAACAACAAAGAAAATGACTCATAAATTCAAAAAGCAAAATATAAAAGTTTATATTATAAAGTATAACTCCTGCTCTAATTAAAATTTTAACTTTACGATTTTAATTCATAAGGATATTTATTAATGCATAAAGCCACATAAAAAGCTCTGGAAAGACAGACACCAAAATGTTATTATTGTGTCTCAATAATGAACTTGGTGTGTTTTTTTTTTTTTTGAAATATAGTTAAAAAGTTTCCTGAACCCACATTTCTTTCTTCCTTTTTAACATGTAAACATCCTTAGGGGAGTAGTTTTAGCAAAGAGATAGTAGGAGTGTGGTGGGGGGGGGGAAATAAGATTGTCCTGGGAACTGGGGTTCTGAAAGGTTGATAATATTAACAACAAACAGGTATTGCATGGGTCACTTGCTATCTGTCAAGCTCTGTTATAGATAAGAAAATGGGACTCAGCCAGGGCCAAATCAGAACGTGGATTTGGAACCAGGCAGGCTGACTCTGGAGCATGTGGTCTTTTAGGGACAAATGAAAATTTTCCAATGAGGAGCCCACATGTATGTAACAGGTCCGGTAGCATCAGGGAGGGAAAATATAAAGGAACTGAAGAGGGGATGAGGCTCATTCACCCAACAGCTCTCTGTTGAGTGACTGGTACATGCCAGGCCCGGTGCTAGGGTCAATGACAACAGGCTAAATGGGGGACCAGTTCTCACAGAAGTTCGTTTAGTATGAGTAAAGTGTTCATGGGTCAGGAAAGGGGGGACTGCAGTAGACAGGAGGAAGTTAAAGGGGTTAAAGTCTCAGTGCTATCAAGTTATCACTAGTCAATGCAGCATGAGTTCCATCCCTGGCCAGGGAGCTGACCCATATAGTGCAGCAGACCTCTCCTGTCTCACGTGTGATTCAGTCGATCTGCCTAATCTGCTCCCCACTTTGTCTCTGGTGAATCCTCTTAACCCCCGCATCTCTGGCCTCATCCCAGTTCTTGTATGCACAAATTAAAAAAAAATTTTAAAAATAATAATAATCCTTGTATGTGAACTTCTGACTATTTCCTTTGATAAATAGGACTTTTTCTGCTGCCTCAGTCTCAGTGATCATTCTCAGTCCTCTTACCCGGCCTGTTAGCCACTGTGTTGGCACCACTACTAGCTCCTCCACCTTGAAATATGGTCTCCCTCTTGCTCTCCCTGAATCTCACTAGCCACTCCCCTGCTTCTCCTTGGCTACTTCTTCCTTGTTCCTCTTGACCTCTTAGTGTGGGATGCCCCAGAAAGCCCCTGGTCTCTTCTCTGTCTACACCCTCTCCCTTGCGGATCTCATTTAGTTTTGTGACATTATCTATCTCCTCTATTTGGCTAATTCCTGGCCAGGGCCTGTTCCCTGAATGCTAGCTCAGCAGAGGCAGCCCTACTGGGATGTCAAACAGGCACTTCACACCTAATACATCCAAAACAAACCCCTAATTTTCTGCCCCAAATTCCTTCCTCTCACAGTCTTCCCCATCTCAGCAGATTGCAATTTTCTCCTCTACCTGCTCAGGTTAAAAGGCTTCGAGTCATCCTAGGCCCCTTTCTTTCTTCCACGCCTTATTACTAATCCATCAACAGCTTCAATCTATCTAGACTCTTAACTCCCCCTTGCACTCCACTGCTCCCACCTGGACCAAGCCACCAACATCACTCACCTGGATGAAGCAGTAGCCTCCGAGGTAGTCTCCTGCTTCTGCTCCTTCCCTGCATCAGTCTGTTCACCCCAGTCAAGTAAACCTGTAAACATTTAAGCCTGAATTGACCCCCCCACCTCACTTTGCATAAAAGACCTTGCATGATCTGACCCAGTTTCCTGTGTAACTTCACCTCCAACCACTCTCCCTGCCCTCCTTCTCCCAAACGGCAAATACTCACATGCTCAGGTACACCTGACAAGCTCCCACCTCAGGGCCTTTGCATTTGTTATTCCTTCTGCATCGGATCTGCCCCCCCCCACCCCACAGCTTGCTCATGCCTTGCAAGTATATGATGAAATATCTCTCAGCAAGCCCTACCTTGATCACCTCGACTTAAAGCTGTACTTTAACATGCCCAGCCTTCCCCTGCTTTGTCTTTAGCTCTCAGCATTAACATTGTAGACTTCACTTATCCTGTTCATTGTCTGGCTTGTAGACCACAAACCCCACAAGAAAGCTTTGTCTGTTTTGCTCACTGTAAGTTCCAGAGCCCAAAACAGGGCCTTGGCTCCTGGGGGAAGCCCGAAAGCTAATTGTTGCATGAGTGAGTGAATAAGCAAGTGAGCAAGTAGCCTTCCCGGAGCCCCTGTTTTCTTTGGCTTGCTTCATTCTCCTTTGTGTCTCTGACACTACACAATCCTGACTCTGGCAGTGCTAATCTCTAACCACTCCTCCTTTTCCTTCTCTGCATGCTTTTGTCTCTCCTGACCCCTGACTACATATTCTCAAAAATCACATTTTTAAGGCTCTGTCCCTCAGAGAGTTCTTCAATCCTCTTGGCTTTGATTTCAGCCATTACCACATGCTATTCTAACCCAGAGTTCTACCTCGCAAGTCCTGTCCCCGCCCCTTGTGTCTTTAACAGTTTTGGGTCTGACTTACCTTGGTTCATTTGTTAACCTTAATGAACTTCAGTTTCCTCACCTATAAAATGGGGATTAGGGCCTCCCTGGTGGCGCAGGGGTTAAAGTCTCAACATTATCGAGCTATGGACAGACACTGGCCTGAGTTGAAATCCCAGCCCTGGAGCTAACCTACATGGTGCAGCAGACCTCTCCTGTCTTGCCCGCTTATAGGGTCAGGACTACCATAGTGCAGGTTTTCTATGATCCAGCAGACCGGGTAAAGGAGTCAGAGTCCTCAGTGGTTTTTGCAGGTCTTTTATTTAGATTTACCAGGCATATGGCAGGCAGGGATGCTGGGGGGCCGGGAGGCTGGCAGACATCCCAGCCCCCAGCAAGTCTTCACGCTGGGCTCTCCGACCTTCTCTCTCTCCCTCAGCTTCTGCTGCTGCTTTCTCGGCTTCTCTTTTGACTTCTACTGGTGTCCCCGTGATGCCGCCCTTAAAAGCACAGTCTTAGCCCAGGTGAATCCCATCTACCTATGCCCACACCCTACTCCAGGTGCCCACCATCAGGCAGGCATTCAGACTGCAAGGATCCATCATCTATCCTGATGGCGGGAGGGCAGAAAAGCCTGACATTTTTTCCTTACCCTACACCGCTGCTCCCCTCAGCAGTGTATTTCAGTCAGTCTGCCTGTTCTGCTCCCCACTCTGTCTCTGGTGAATCCTCTCGCCCACGTACCTCCGGCCTACACCCCAGTTCTTGTATGCATAAATAAAATAAATCTTTAGAAAAATAAAATAAAATGGGGATGTAGGGGCAGGAATGGACACGGAGCAGGATCTCTATGATCCCATGCAGACCGGGTAAAGGAGGAGTCAGAGTCCTCAGTGGCTTTGCAGGTCTTTTATTTAGATTTACCAGGCATATGGCAGGCAGCAGTGCTGGGGGGCCCGGAGGCTGGCAGTCCTCCCAGCCCCCAGCAAATCCTCACTCTATCTGGGCTCTCTGGCCTTCTCTCTGCTTCCATTCTTCTTCTCTCGGCTTCTGTTCGTTCTTGGCTTCTGCTGGTGTCCCCATGACGCCGCCCTTATAAACTCAGTCTCTTAGCCCAGGTGTACCCACTTCAGGTGCCCGCCATCAGGCATGCATTCAGGACCACAGGGTTCCCTCATCTATCCTAATGGCGGGAGGGCAGAAAAACCTGATACTTTTTCCTTACCCTACAGGGGATTATTAGAAAACATTTAATATAGCACTTATTATATGCCAATACTATTGTTCCAGACAAAATTTCATAAATGTGTGGAAATTGCCTTCCTGTCCATTTTACAGATGAGGAAGTCAAGGCACAGAACTTTAACTAATTTGCAGTTTGTTAGAGGATGTGAGCCTGGAGGTTTTGCTCTGGAGTTTGTGCTCTTGACCATTATGCTAAACTGCCTCCCAATACTCTCCTTTGAGAACATAGATGACATGAGATTTGATCTTAAGGGGTGGTGAGGTTCTAAACTCGAGAAGTAAGGCAGAAAGGTGCATGTGGTCAAAATCAACCTTAAATCAACCCCCAGAATATCCAGATTTTAGTGTCACATCAGCCTGAGCTCACTGTAGAGTGGATCACAGTTGAGGCATTGGCTTGCATTTGGATACCATGTTATCATGTCATGTAAATATGTAGCTTGTGTAGTTGAATTCAAGTAAGGAACTACAACCAGCCTTAGTCCTGTAAGAGAGGAGGTTCAGTTGGGAGGTGAAGACAGGACAATTGTGATATGACACAATGAGAAGGCACCCAGCTGTGCCTGGTACTTAGCAGGCCCTCAATCACCACCTGCTCTCTTCCCTTGGTTGTTGGGTAGGTGGCATTGTACCAAACCCTCCATACCTACATCTGCCAACTTGCATTCTCTATTTTAACACAGTCACAGAGTCACAGAGTCTGGAGGCTTTTCCTTACAAAATACACCCCTCCTTGGTGCCCATAGCCAGAGGCCCAGGTCCACTCCATTCACTCAGTGAGAATTAGAGCCACCTCAGAGTAAGGATTTGTATTCCTCATTCCATGGTTTCCACTGCTCTGTTCACCGTTCTATCATTGCCAGATTGATCTCTTTCAAATACCATGTCGATTACCTCTCTTCCCCTTTTAGAAAACTTCACTAGCTCCTCACTTCCTATTGATATCAAATCTAAACTCTCCTGCATGAAAGATTCTTTTAAAAATTCTATTTTTTAAAATGGTTTATTTATGCATACAAGAACTGGGGTGTAGGCTAGAGCTGCGGGGGTGAGAGGATTCACCAGAGACAGAGTGAGGAGCAGAACAGGCGGATCTACTGAAATACACTGCTGAGGGGAGCAGCGGGCAAGACAGGAGAGGTCTGCTGCACCATGGGGGTCAGCTCCCTGGCTAGGAATCGCACTCAGGCCGCAGTGGCTGGCAATAGCTTGATAGCACTGAGATTTTAACCCCTGCACCACCAGGGAGACCCTAAAAATTCTATTTACTAAGCTTTTATTTTGTATTAAATTATTAAATAGCACTGACAATTAGAATTTCAATTAAGTGTAATTAGATCAAGCTGAAGTTAGAAGACAGACTGAGGACTAAACCTAGCTTACTAATGTATTTCACTTTTCATATACTTTTCATTTTAATATACTTTTCAAAGTGAGCCATGTTTTTCAAATAAATATACAAATAAAATTTGTAAATTTGAAATAAAATTTCAAATAAAAATAATTTCCCTTGGGCCTCCCTGGTGGCGCAGCAGTTGAGCACTGGGTTGCGAAGCTGTCCGCAGCCTCTGCAGTGCTAGTTCAATCCCCGGCTGCTCCCCGACCACCGTAGGAAGGTCCCGCATGGCGCGCAGACCTCTCCTGCCACCCGCTGCTCCCCTCAGCAGTGTCCTTTGGTCCTTCTCCCTGCTCTGCTCCCGGCTCTGTCTCTGGTGAATTCTCTCACCCTCCTGCGCTTCTGACTGTACCCAGTGCTTGTATAAATAAATAAATAAATCTTAAAAAAAAAAAAAAGATTTCCCTTTAAACGGGGAAGATATAGGATACTGGAACCACATTCTTATGGAAAAAAACTTCGTTAGAGCTGAGAGAAGTTTGATACTTCAGCAGGGTTATGCCCTTTCCAGTTTGTCAGAGTCCCCACCATTCCTTAATGTGTTACTCTGGCTCTCTTGACTCACTGATATCATCACACTGGCACTTAAAGGCACTAAGTTTGCAACCTCTGATTTAGAGACATATAAATAGGTACCTTTCTCACTGCTCATAAACCAGCATAATTTGGTCAAGTCCTAGTTTTCCTCTGCTTAATATAGAATGAACTCACACTGATTTTCAGTGCCCTCTGAAATACATTCCCATACCTTTATAAATTCATTCATTCAACGAACACAGTTGCTGAATTACTGTTTTGTGCTAGGGACTCTGCTCAACACCAGGGATACAGATGACCATGGAAACCCCTCTTCCCAGTGAGCTCACTTCTCTGAGCTGACCTTATTTATCAGGCTTCCCAGCTACAGGGTGAACTCTGCTAGCTAAGGTCTGCTCCATTCCACAAACAAAGGTGCATTTATTCGTATCCCTGTATCATTTCCCTGCCCGTGGTGTCAGTTCTCTCTGGACTCTTCCAATTCACACCATCCTGAAAGGCCTCTTGGTACAGAGGAAAGGGTGGCAGTCAAGGAACAAGTTGGGAAATCTGGGGAAAATTACTCCCCCACTCTAGGCTTGATTACGGTGAATCACAGATGAGCAGCGTGGAGTCAGATTGCCTAGGGCTGAATGGCAGTCACTTAACCTCTCTGAGCTTTGGTTTTCTCATCTATAAAACAAAGATGAGAGTATTTATCTCCTAGGATTCTTTTGAGGATTGAGTCACATTATTCATAGAAAGGGCTTAGTACAGTGCCTGGTGTATGGTTAAGTGTGTACTAAATGTTAACTAATAGTTACGACTAATACTAATAGTCACGACTGACAGCTCTAAGCCCCACTCCTCTTGGCATCCCCTCGGACTGTCCCTCCACTCTACTGCCCGGGGTCATGTGATCGGCCACTACTTTGAGTACAGTTGTCCAGACCTGAGGGCTGGAGCTTTGTCTTCCACTGCCCTGTGTGAGTGCCCAGCACCTTGCAGCAGTAGCTCAATGTTTGTTAAACTCCAGGTCTGCAATGATAAGCCAGGCATGGCTGCTGCAAAGACACCTGCCCTTCAGAGAATGGCTGAGATGGAGACAGTCAAGCCCTCAGTCAAGCGGGCCAGGACCAACTCAGGGCAGAGTAAAGGGATTGACTTGTTCTTGGAATGAACATCAAGTCTAGTCTGGGGAATCGAGAATTGGGGACCTCTTCCCCTGGGCTCATTCATTCTCTGGAAAGGGAGAGGAATGTCTGTTTGTACTCCCTTGCTCTAATAGACCCTCAGTAGCCTTCGGGAGGAGCAGACCAGACTAAAGATGAGGTTGCAGGAGCTGCAGCAGCTGAGAATGAAACTTAGGGACTCCTCCCAAGACAAGGTAAGCTGGAAAAGGGGTTATGGTCTGGTAGAAACAACGGGGCAGCTTGTAGTTTCACTTCTGAGTGCCATTCCTTGCTGCGAGACCTTGAGTGTGATACTTGAACTCTTGAACCTGCCTATACTCATCTGTGGAGTTACCTACCTTGCAGGTTAAGGTACTAAGATCTCGTATGTGAAGCGTCAGTGCAGGCTTGACCTGCACGCAGCCACGCACATAGGCAGCTCATTTCAATGAATGTATCTACTCTTGGTTCTCAGCACCAATCTCAGGAAACTGGGGACACTTTCCTCCTGGGAAAGAGTGGGGAGCTCTTCTACCCTTGAAGACTGCCTCAGTCTCCCTTTCCTTACCTCTAGATCCTATTCGCAATGCCTGAAGTGCCCCTGGTGTTCCAGGGACACACTCATCAGGGTGGGGAAGCACCGAAATCTTCAGTTTCTAACCTGAGGATCTGTTATCCTCTGCCTGGAGGCTCTGCTCTGGTGACCTTTGATGATCCCCAAGGTGAGCCCAGGGAAGCCTGAGGAGGGAGGCTGGAAGGTTCCCAGCACTGACCCTTACACCCCCACCCAGTGGCTAAAAGGGTGCTGCAACAAAAGATGTATAAGATTGACATGGAAGAATGCCGGCTGCGGTTGCAGGTCCAGCCCTTGGAGCTGCCTGTCGTGACCACCATCGAGGTGAGAGTGCCAGGTCCTGGATTGCACATGGGGTACCATGCACCTGGGCATAGGGGTATGGGGCTGTGCAAGGACCACTCCCTCTTGTCTCCCCCAGGTGTCCAGCCAGATGGATGGCCAGAGAGTGCTGGTCAGTGGGTTTCCTGCGGGGCTTAAGCTGAGTGAGGAGGAGCTGCTGGACAAGTTAGAGATCTTCTTTGGCAAGGCCAAGAATGGGGGTGGTGATGTGGAGACTCGGGAACTGCTACAAGGAGGTGTCATGCTGGGCTTCGCTGAAGAGAAAGGTAAGTGCTTGGAAAATGGTCAAGGCACAGATGCGTCAAGCTACAGGAGAGGAGAACCCTTGAGGGTAAAGGTCCACCCTCCCTGTTCCTGCAGTGGCCCAGCACCTATGCCAGATTGGCCAGTTCACAGTGCCACTGGGTGGGCAGCAGGTCCCTCTGAGAGTCTCTCCCTACATGAGTGGGAAGATCCAGAAGGCCGAGGTAAGTAGGAAGGGGGAGGGAGGATGGAGGCTGGACCAGGTACCCTGACTTTGCCAGAAACTTTCCCAAGGAAGAATCAGAGCCCCAAGCCTCACAAACTTCCCAACCAGCCTCTCCACCCCTCCTGCCCCTTCCTGAGCTCCCATGGTCCTCACCTGCCCTGACCTCTGTTCCTAGCCTGATGCCCGAAAGCCTTGGCCCATCTCCCTGCTCCTTTTCCAGATGAGGAATCAGTCAGTGCCCCAGTCTGTGCTGGTGTTGAACATTCCCGACATCCTCGATGGCCCGGAGCTACACGACATCCTGAAGATCCACTTCCAGAAGCCCACCCGTGGGGGTGGGGAGGTGGAGGCCCTGGCCGTAGTGACCCCAGGACAGCGGGGCCTGGCGGTCTTCACCTAGTCGGACTAGAAGTTGCCCTTCTCATCACCCCCACCCCCCTGCCGAGCTTCTCACAAGGGGCTGCGGTTGGGTGCCCATGTACCAGGGAGATCTTGCTGGTCGACTGTGAGCAGGGATTATGAGTTGTGAAATGCTGAACAGTAAAAGTGCCCACATGGCATGATCGTCTTCCTCATTTCATTTCATGAAAGGAAACAACTGGGCAGGGAAGGTGGCTGGGGGTTGGGAAGAAACCCTAAGCTTCCACTATCAGCGCTGGCCTTTTAGGAGCGCTCACCTTCCCCAACACTTAGGTAACAGGCAGGACCCAGGGTTTGGCTTTTTATTGACACAAACACAAAGGCAGCTCCGGTAATGGGGTGGGGTACACAAAAGCAGAAATCAAACCTCAGCTGTTCAGGCCTCATTTAGAAAATGAAGAGGTTGTGCCCCTCCCCCTGCCTCCCACTGGCAATTGCTGGGGCAATACCTCTCCCTAATTCCAGCTCAAAGAGCAGAGGGAGTCTCTCCCCTACCCCAGGAAGCCTCCACTTTGGTTCCAGCAGCCCAGGTCCTAAACAACCCCACCCCCTTACTGCCCTGCTCCATCTCCCCACCCATGTAAACAAAGTTTGGGGCTGAGTTTGAAAAGCCACCTTCCTGCTCTAAGAAGGCAGTGGGCCTCCCTTGACTACACGGGGAATGTGCTTTGAGTTTTACTTTGGTCCCAAAACAAAAACAGACAGCACTGCCTCTCATAGCTCTGGTTGGTAAAAGCCACACTTATCTGCAAGGCTGAGAAAGCTCCCCCAGCCTCTTTCTCTCCAACCCCATAGAGAAATGACAGCCCCAGAGACAGGACATGGCACAGACCCCAGAGGGCCAGGGGCTGGCCCCCACCCATTGGCACACACTCAGAATTTTGGCAGTGTTGTGGGACTGGGGAGCAGCAAAGCCCCAGCCCCACCAGAACAAGGAAGGCACTGGGGCATACAGAGGTGGAGGAGGAGGTACGAGGCAGGGAACCCCCACATACACAAGCACAGGTTTTCCGCTGGTAAGGCACTGAGAACAAATCCAGAGAACTCAGTGAAGGGGAGGGGTGTCTGTGTTCCTCCCACAGAATCATGACCTCAGGGGAGCAGGTCTGATTCCCACCCTTGCTGTAAGAGGCAACCTTGGTTAAGAGTGGCAGGAAATCCAGAGGTGGAAGAAGCCCAATTGTGCTTAAGAAGTTGGGGATAGAAGACGAGGCCATGCAACGAGGCAACAAGAGTTCAGAGGTGGGTGCTGGTCGACCTGGGTTGAAGGGACACTAGGGCAAGACAGGCACATGCAGGACTCACACAGATTGGCCCCACATCCTGAGCTGACATTTCAATTCTTTGGGGAGGTGGTGGGGCAGGGGCAGGAGGGGAGATGGGGCAGAGGCGGAAGCACACAGAACAGGACGGGGAGGGACTGGCTAACCTTGGCACAAAAGCAGCACAGCAGGCCTGGGGAAAGGGTGGGGGCAGGAAGCAGCGGCCTCCCTCTGTCCCTCCCTGTCCCCTTGGCAGGGCCCAGACATCCAAGTGGTCACTTCCCAACCTCTTAAGAGGGCAGGAAGGGGAGAGGGGGCAGCCCTGACTAAAGAGAAAGAACAGGGTAGGGGAGTGATTACCACGGAGACCTTGGGGTGGGCGGGAGAGAGGGCAGAGCATCACCATAGAGGATGAAATGCAAGTGTCTGGTGGCCCCCAGCACACGGCTTCCCAGCTTCTCCCTCCCCAGGTCCCAAAGGTCTCCTAGGCCCCATCCTAGTTCTCCTTCTCTGGCCCAGGCACCAGGAGGACTTTGCCCACGTTCTTCTTCTCCTGCATCTGCCTCATGGCATCCACCACCTGGAGAGGAAGAAAAACACTGCTCCCAGTGCTGCCCAGCCCTCCTCTGCCTAGGAATCCTGCTCTGGGACCCCAGTCTTCAAGGTCTTCAGGTCCCCCCAGGACCCCAGTCTTCAGGTCCCCCCATGGAGTCATCACACTCACCTTCTCGAAGGGCCACACGGAGTCAATGTGGGGTTTGATGTGGCCCTGGTTATAGAGAGTCAGGAGGCGGGCCACCACGCCACTGACCAGCTCCACCTCGCCCTCCAGGTAGCCCAAGTGGAAGCCACACACAGCGCGGTTAGCTGGCAACAGCTGCAAGGCTGTCACGCTGAACTGATTCCACCACGTACGGGCCAGCGCCATGAGGTTCCTCTTGGGGCCCGTCAGCAGATTGGCCATTCCTGTGGGACAGGAGAAAGGCCACATCCTTGGGTGTCTGCACCAAGCTTGTCTGCCCCTGCGGGCCCTAGAGTTATCCACACCAGCACCGGGGAGGGAGAGGACAATCTCCCAGCTGTTGGCTGCCAGGCCCAAACTGACTCCAACTGACTCCAAAATTGCTCTATCCTTTATTTATTTCTTACATTAAACACAGATTTTTTTTTTTTAACAAACAGATTTTACATACTCTGCTTGCCCAAGAAGCCAGGTGAGTAGAACAGAAGGCAGACTGGTTGATTTTGCCTCAGGAATACTCCCCACACAGGAGCACAGAGAGAACACATGATTTGCATGGAAAGTTGTGAAAGAGAATGACAGTAGCTGGTACCCAGGAGGCAGCCCTCTCCAGTGCCACCCCAACCCTGATGCTCTTTGCAGAGCACCTGAGTCCCTGCCCAAAAGTTCAAAAGTTCTTCATTCAAAAGTTCTGGGCCTCTAAGTCCCAGCCCTTAGACCTACTCTGCTTCCCTAACTTCCCCTCCCCATACCTCCCCCGCTTACTTACCATAGGTCACTACTTTGCCCATGGGTTTGAGGAGGTTGTAGCCCTTGGCAGTATCTGAGCCACCCAGAGGGTCCATGACGATGTCCACTCCTGTCACAGAGCAGGGGATCCAAGAACAGCATTAAGCTCCACAGATCTGGAGAACCCCTCTCAGCCCTGAACCATCCTACACTTTCCCTGACCTACCTTTGGGGGAGATCTTCTTGATCTCATCCACATAGTCAGTTGTATGGTAGTCGATGGGGTGTGTGACCCCGTTCTCCTTCAGCACCTCATGCTTGCTGGCTGAGGCCGTTCCGAACACCGTCACATTCTCCACTGTACGGCACAGCTGCACAGCGGCCATTCCCACACCCCCTGCGGCAAGACACTGGTGAGTAGGGAGTATGGAGTCACCCAGCCATTTCAGCCTCTCAAGGCCCCAGCCCATCGCCTTCATTTTGTCTGGGCTCATTTGAGACTTTCTCCCCTCATCCCATGTCCAATTTCCATGATCGAGAGTTGGGGGGAAGAGCAATTGGGGAGGAGGGTGATGGGTGAGGACACGTTGCTATGGCTAGCACACCAGGCTGGACCTGGTGCCTGAATGTTACCACGGCAACACTGCAGAGGCCTCTGGCGCCACAGACCTAGGCAGCCTGGTGTTGCCATGACAACAGTCCAGACAGGCTGCAGGGAAGGGGCCTGGAAGGAAATCTGGGTGGGGTAAGGAGGAGGGATAAAGGGAAGGGCCTGTCACCTGCAGCCATGTGTACTAAGACGCTGTGGCCAGGCCGAAGGTTGCCGAAGTCAAAAAGGACCATGTAAGCTGTGACATAATTGACCAGCAAGGCAGCAGCTTCCTCAAAGGTCATGGCCTCCGGCATCAGGAAGGTCTGGGCTGAGGGCACAGTCACCTCCTCCTGCCACATGCCCGACCGGATCAACACCATCACCCGGTCCCCTACCTTGAAGAATGGAAGAAGAGTGTCATTCATTTATTCATTAACCCACAAATGATTTATGACCTATAACAAGACCCTCTCCCTGGCCACGAAGCAGCTATAGAAGCAGCAGTAGTCACAGCAATAAGAATAATACATCATCCAAAACAATAACAACCTAGCTTTACTAAGTGCTTGCAATGGGTCAGGTCCTACTGCAAGCGCTTTATACACAGAAACTCTATTAATTGTTACACCAGCTTTTTGAGACAGATACCACCCTTATCTCCATTTTGCATGTATACTTCACTATTGTGTAAGATCCCTGAATGCAAGAAGCCTACAGTTAGGGCAGCATGAAGTGTTGTTGAAGAAAGCAGACTGCTTCAGTTTAAAAAAAGAGGCTCCAAAAAGGAAAAAAAAAAAAAAATGGGCTCCACTATTTACTGGCGGTGTAAACTTGAGCAAAAAAACCTACTTAACCTCTTTTTTTTTTTTTTAATATTTATTTTGTAGAAGAACTGGGATGCAGGCCAGAGGTGCGGGGGGGCGGGTGGGGGGTTGGGGGGGGTGAGAGGATTCACCAGAGACAAGAGCAGGGAACAGAAGAGGCAGATTGACTGAAATACACTGCTGAGGGGAGCAGTGGGTGTCAGGAGAGGTCTGCTGCGCCATATGTGGGTTAACTCCCTGTCCTGGGATGGAACTCAGCTCGCATTGGGGATCGCCCTGAGCATTAACCCCTACGCCACCAGGGAGACCCTTTACCTTTTTGACTCTCTTTGTTTTTCTATTTGTAAAATAGGGGAGTTACAAGGATGAAATGGCAGAAAAATCAATCATTCAGTGATTTTTCAGCCCAATACCTAGAACATGGTGAAAACTTAGAAGTGTTAGGTAATAATAGTAATCATAATAATGACACTAACAAGGAGGGGAAGTCACTGGTCTAGTAACTGAAAGAAGAGGGCAGTATGTTGTAAGCACCATGCCAAAGCATAGACAAAGGTCCCTGAGCCTTTAGGGCTGGGTACAGTCACCTCTTGAAAATTGAGCCAGCGGGCCTCCCTGGTGGCGCAAGGGGTTAAGCACTGCACTGTGAGGCAATCTGCAGCCTCTGCAGCAAGAGTTCGATCCCCAGGTGGCCAAGGGGCAACCCACATGGCCCAGCACCCCTCTCCTGACTCGCCCTCTGCTCCCCTCAGCAGTGTACTTCGGTCAATCTGCCTGTTCTGTTCCCCACTGTCTCTGGGGAATCCTCTCACACACCCCCCCCCCCCCGCATCTCTGGCCTGTACCCTAGTTCTTGTATGCATAAATAAATAAATCTTTAAAAAAAATGGGGGGGCCTTCCCTGGTGGCCCAGGCAGTTCAGCGCCACACTGTGAAGCTGTCCACAGCCTCTGCAGTGCCGGTTCCAGCACTGGTTTGATTCCGGCTGGCGGGCGAGGGTCCCACATGGTGCAGCAGACCTCTCCTGTCTCACCCGCTGCTCCCCTCAGCAGTGTATTTCATTAGTCTGCCTGTTCTGTTCCCTGCTCTGTCTCTGGTGAGTCCTCTCACCCTCCCGCAAATCTGGCCTGTACCCTGGTTCTTGTATAAATAAACAAATACATAAATCTTTAAAAAGAAAGAAAACTGAGCCAGCACTGGGGACCCAGAAAACACCCTCACCCAGAGATGGAAGGAAGGCTGGTGGACCAGTAGAGCCACCAGTCCCACCACCGACCAGGAAAAGGCATTTTCCCCTACTCTGAGTTCATGAGTCTCCTATTTGGAGAGAAAGGGGGCAAAGGAAACAGAATCTTTTCCTCTAGCTTAGCAACTGGAGCCACAGGGGAGGGCACAGAAAAGGCCTCTCCTCACTCTATAAAGAACATGGAGCGGGAGATGTGGGTGCTGCTCCAGGACAACCTGGGTCAGTCTTGTTCCCTGCCAGGAATGATGGGATTTCTGTATATTAACAATACTAGGGATGCACAGGGACAGGGGATGGGACTCCCACAGGTACACTTTTCATGTCCTCACGCACCTATACTCTGCTGACCAGGACTGAGGGCAGGCTGGGATCTTTCCCTGAAGGCCCTGGCTTCAAATGAGGTCTGGCGAATGGAAGCCCTCCACCGCAGAACTCAGGACTACCAGACTCAGAAACAACCAAGGAGAGTTGGAAAACACAGCTCAGGTCAAGGCCCATCCCAGATTTGCCCCAGAACATGGTTCACTTACCCAAGTAAATGCCCACCCCCCAGCCCATCACAGGGCAGGGCCATGACCCCTCCCCAACCCAGATATCAGGAGGGAGCTAGGGAGAGAGGGAAGGCCCTACCCACAGAATCCAGCCTCTTACATCAGATTTGTGCCCTGGACAGGATATCCTGTATTTACTGAGCGGAAAGTATGGGGAGGGAGGTCAGGTGGGTGGCCTTCAGCAGTAACATGAACTACAGTAACTCCCTGCTCAGCCCACCCGAACACAAAATTCCTCTTAGCACCGTCCCAAGAGTGGGATTATTTAGAAGTCAGGGAACAGAGATAAATTCAGGGACAAGCCCTTTAAGAAGGGGCTGTTTGCATGTACAAGAAATCCAAGAATTCCAGCTCTGGGATCTGGGATTGGCAGGTCCAGCAAAACAAGCCTGTGTCTGAGAGGCCTCTCTGACAGGGGCCTGAATTGAAAAGAAACCCCTAAACAAATGACGTAGTGGCAAAGGCCTCACCCCAGGTCTCAAAAGTTGGTCATTTGGAACTCTGGGGTGTCCGGGGTTGTGGCCAAGATTAATGATAACCAAAAGGAGAAACAGACTGGTAGAGCTGGGCCAACCTGTTCACGACGCCACACCCCCACCCCACACCCCCACCCGGGCCCCAGTGGGCACCATCCTGGTTTCTGGGCAGGGGTCTTCTGACAGGAAGGCAGAGGCAGTTCTGCCGGAACATTCCCCAGGGCAGGCCTGGGTCAGGGCCCGCTGGCTGAGTCACAGGAGGAGGAGGCGATACTGCAGTCACGGGAGAGCCCAAGACAAAGATCCAGAGACCCAATCCCGCCTCCCCCACCCAAACACCAGACTCGCAACGTAAGGGGGGCCGGGGAGCGGGGAGGCCCCTTCCTCGGCGATGGGCGTGCCTCGCCGGCCCTGCTCTGGGAGGGGCCGCCACACACCCCCACAGGCCACGGGGCTGCATGTGACTAGGGCTCTGGCACCGCCATGCGCCCCCGCCCAACTTCGACTACCGCTCGAGGGCGGCGGGTAAGGGGCACCAGCCGTGGCGCCACCATTACCCGCGGCGTGTTGGGTGAGCGGGGGCACAGGTGCGGGCTCAGCCAGGTGGCGGGGGGCTTGTGTGCGCATGCGCGCAGCCGCCTCATTGTTCCCCGCCCGTCCGCTCCGCCGCTGCGGGGCGAGGGTGACAATTAACATGTTTGCGGAGGCGCCGGCAACTCCATCTCCGCCCCTCTCCCCCGAGCACGAGCGCAGATCCCCAGGAGCCTCCGAACACGCGCTCCTGCCCGCGCCCGACCGCCCGGGCCGGTACCAGTCCCCGACCCGGCCACACCCCCGCCGCCCGCCCACCCGGTGCCCCCGCCCGGCCGCGCCTCTCCCCGCCCGGCCGCGCGGCCCGCTCACCTTGCGGTCGTCCACCCCCTCGCCCACGGCGATCACGACGCCCGCGCCCTCCATGCCCGGAGTGATGGGCAGCGGCGGCAGCCGGTCGTACAGCCCCTGCCGGGCCATCAGGTCGGCGAAGTTGAGCCCGCAGGCCCGGACGCGCAGCGTCAGCTGGCCGGGCCCGGGGGCCGGGGGCGCGGCCGGCCGGCTCTGCAGCTTCACCTTGTCGTAGCCGCCGAAGCCGGTGAGCACCAGGCAGCGCAGCGGCGGCGACGCGGGGGCGGCGGCCTCCCCGGAGGCCGGGGGCGGCGGCGCGTCGGCGGCGGCCTCGGCTTTGGGGGGCGGCGCAGAGGCGTCTTCCACCCGCCCGGGCTCAGCCGTTGCCACCGCGGTGGCGGCCTCCGCTGCCTCTCTCTCCGCGGACATGGCTGGGAGTCCCGACGTGCGCGCACAGCTGGGCCGAGGTGCACAGCTGGGGAGGGCGGGGCCGCGTCCGAAAGCGCCGAAGACTGCGGACTCTGAGCCGGGCGGGGGCCGGGGGCGGGGCCTCCTGGGGGCGGGGCCTCGTGGGGGCGGGGCCTCGCGCGCTCACTTAAAGGGCCAGGGCCGAAGTGGGGCTGCGGCCGGAGCTCGAGCGTGGAGACCAGAAACACCTGGGGACAGACGAGGGCGAGGGCATGCTTGGGTCGTGCAAACTGCGATTTAATTTAGCCACTTATTCATAATAAGCCTTATGCAGATTTAAAAAACATGTTAAGAGATAGTCTGAAGAACGATCCCAAAATCTAGGCCTGCTTCAGGTTTTCGGGAGTCAGCCACCTGTGAACTGGAACCCACCCAGGTTGTTCCTCAAGCTCTGACTCTACCCACAGGTGAGCCAGGGGCAGAAATCAGACCTTTCCGTGTGGACTTGCAGTAGCTAACTTAAAGCAGAAGACCGAGTCTTTAGAACTTCCCATTTGCCTTTAGCTGTGAAAGCGTTACGCCTCAGTTTTCTCATTTGTGAAGTGATGATTGGCGTTGATTGCTCTGGTTATCTTTACAAGGTAAAGGTAAAATTAAATCGAGTGCCTTGATTTGAAGATGAGCTAAAGATTTATTTATTTATTTATACAAGCACTGGGTACAGTCAGAAGCACTTCACCAGAGCCAGAGCTACAGAAGGCTGGTCTGCGCGCCATGTGGGAAGCAATTGAAATGCAGAGGCTGCAGCTTCGCAAGACTGCTTGAAGATGAGCTTTTAAATGGTAAAAGATGGGCCTCCCTGGTGGCGCAAAGGGTTAAGATGCAATCTATGAAGGTATCTGCAGCCAATGCAGCACGAGTTCCATCCCCGGCCAGGGAGCTGACCCACATGGCGCAGTAGACCTCTCCTGATTTGTCCGCTGCTTCCCCTCAGCTGTGTATTTCGGTAGATCTGCCCGTTTTGTTCCCCACTCTGTCTCTGGTGGATCCTCTCACCCCCCACACCTCTGGCCTGTACCCCAGTTCTTGTATGTATAATTAAATAAATCTTAAAAAATAAAATATTTAAATAAAGGTAAAATATGGAATGGAGATGCAAGCCTGAAATGTTTTTAGAACTTGTCTCCGGTTCCAGCAAGTCTATCACATAGGCAGTTCTAGCTGCTGCTGCTTCCTCCCCATCTCGGTCTCCCTGAAGCATCCACCAGAGGACGCAGCTCCGTCAAAACATTCCACCCTGCCCTCGGCTGGAGAAACTCAGTCCACACTACCCTGTAGTCCAGACCCGCCGTTAAATCACTGCAACTCCAGACTAGGCCATTCGTTGCCATGGAGACGAAAAGCCATGATGTCATCATTGTCCGGGTGGATGTGATGAAGTCCATACCTCAAATCCCCAAGAACCCCGCCGGGACATGAGCGTGGAGATGGGGGACAGAACCAAAAAGACTCCCTCCTTCCCCTACACCCCTGGCCCCTCCCGCCCTGGAAGCGGCGGCTACCCCCGCGCGCGCCCTGGCACCCCGCGTGGGCGCGCCGAGGCCCGGGCCCGCCGGGCGCCGCTCCGCCTGCGCTCAGAACCTGGCCCGAACCCCGCCCCCCACTTTCTCCAAGAAAGTCAAATTCACCGAAGAGCCCCCAAGCCGAGGGGCCCCCTACATCACTCCTGCGCCCTAAAATCCGGTCCCCTCTCCTCGGTCCCCGGCCCCGCCCCTGGCCCCCGCCCCTGGCCCCGCCCCTCCCAGCCCCGGGCCCCGCCCCTCGATGCGCGGCGGGAGGCGGGGCCGGGGGCGCGGCCGCCGGCGGGGGGCGGGGCGGGGGCAGGCCCCGGGCGGGGCTCGGCGCGGGCCCGCGAGATGCCGGTGGCGGCCGCCCGAGCGGCTGCAGCTGCGGCAGCGGGGCCCGGGAGGGGGGCTGCGCCGGGGGCCGGCGCGTAGCCGGCACTATGGAGGGGCAGAGCGGCCGCTGCAAGATCGTGGTGGTAGGCGACGCGGAGTGCGGCAAGACGGCGCTGCTGCAGGTGTTCGCCAAGGACGCCTACCCCGGGGTGAGCGCCCCGCGTCCCAGAGGCGGCGCTGAGGCCGCGGGGGTGGGCGGCCGGGGCCCGGGGGACGGACGGGTCCGAGCGCTGGGGTAGCCAGGGACAAGAGTGAGGGGCTGCAGGCGTTGGGGCTCTGGAGGGACTGCAGAAGATTGGGGCGGGAGGAATTGGGGAGCAGGGTGAGATGAATGGGCTTTGGGAGAATCCGAGGATCCCGGAGGGGGCGCTAGGGGAATGGAAGGAGTCCTGATCTTCGGAGACGGGGAGGACGAGGGGCTGAGGGGACCTGGAAAGGGTCTGGGAGCCGGGCAGAGATTCTGCGGAGGCAGCAGCTCCCGGCTGCCCGCTTTGCCCAACACCAGACCAACTTGTGTCCAGGGGCTGGGCTGGACGGGGTGCGGGGGTGAGGAGGGCATTTGTCTGGGGTGAAGGCTGGAGGAGCTCATCTTGACCCATCCGTGTCTGCAGAGTTATGTCCCCACCGTGTTTGAGAACTACACCGCGAGCTTTGAGATCGACAAGCGCCGCATTGAGCTCAACATGTGGGACACTTCAGGTAGCCAAGTCCCTGGGGTCACCCTGACTTACAAGACCTGGACCCTTACTCTGCCTTTGGCTAGACTCTGAGGATCTAGGTTAGCTCAGCCTATCCAATTCTAGGAGGAAGGAAAATCAAATTTCTGCTGTAAGTCAGGGAAACTGAGAGAGAGCTTGCCGAGACACAGAAACGACCTCCTGGAGGAGAAAGCCCAGTGTCCATCCCCTCAGCTGGATTCTGCCTACCTGGGAAAGTTGAGAAGGAATGGCTTTTACGTTGAAACATGTTCCTTAGGAGATGGGACTAGATTTTGGAGAGACATTTAGAAGCTCTTGGAGGGGGAGGAACTGCTTCTCTAGATTTAACTAGAAATCTCAGATCAGTCCCAAGAGGGTGGGAGAGCTTTGCTGTTCCTCTCCATCCCCACCCCCCCAAAAAAAAATGGAGGAGGGTTTTTATTTTTACTTGGCTTCCCTGGAGGACTTTGGAAGATGTCTGTCAAAGCCCAGATAGCACATGAAAAATTTTGTGAGAATGTGTGTCTTCTCAAAGACACAGAAACGATTAAGAAATACTTTTTAGAGTAATCCCTAGGGAAGCAGAGAACTGTTTCCTGCCTTCTGCTCCCTTCCATGGACTCCCTGATGGGTATTAATAACTACTCTTTTCCATTATCTGTTCCTGGCATCCCTTGACCAGGATTGCTAAGTCTCCCATTCCCTTCCAGGCCTCCCACCCACTCAGGACCCTCGTGTGTTCCCTCTCTGTTTTCTTTCAGGTTCCTCTTACTATGATAATGTCCGGCCCCTGGCCTATCCTGATTCAGACGCTGTGCTCATCTGCTTCGACATTAGCCGACCAGAAACTCTGGACAGTGTCCTCAAGAAGGTTGGGACCCTGGGGAAACAGAGCAGCTAGACTGAAGGGGACCAGAAACTGTGGACCTGACACAGAGTAGGCAGGAGGAGGAAGTGGGGCATGGCCATTAGCCATGTGTGAAGCTTTTATCTTCCCCTGTTCTCCTACCCTCTGTATCCTGGAAATTAGCTCTCACTGCTGGATAGGCATCTGGGTAGTTGAAGGGTGATCTGGGGGAAGTAAGTACTCAAGGGATTCCTTATTCACTCTGTCCACCTTGGATGCGGGAGCCCCATACAGGGGACAGGGATACTGCTCCAGGATCCTGGAAATCCCTGGGGTCTCCAATCCGGAACTCTCTTGCCATGAGAAAAGCCCTGGTGAAAGGACCTAAGTCAGCTAAGGCAGTCATGGTTCCATGGTGGGGGAGGGGAGGTCAGAATTGATCTTCCCAGAAACAAATCTGGGAAAGGTGGTGGGCATGGGAAGGTTAGAGGCTGGCAGACCCTGCATGAAGCAGGGCCCCCAAGCCTACAGCCCCACCCCTGTCCTCTCCTCCCTCTCCTTTTCTAGCACCTCATCTTGCTTTCAACCCAAGCCCACTATTCCCATCTCTTCTCATGGGAGAGTCCAGAGGGGTGCAGGTTTCTGCATGTGGTGAGAAGGGGCATACTCCAGTGTGAAACAGGGGTTCACACAGAGCCTCCTACTCTTCCATAACGATTTCTTCTCCCAACTAGTGGCAAGGTGAGACTCAGGAGTTTTGCCCCAATGCCAAGGTTGTGCTGGTTGGCTGTAAACTGGACATGCGGACGGACCTGGCCACACTGAGGGAACTGTCCAAGCAGAGGCTTATCCCTGTTACACATGAGCAGGTGGGCACCCTTGACCTCTGACCTAGTCTCAGCTGAGAACTGCCCCTTTTAATCTCTGATTTGAAAACACTCACTTGGCTCTTCCCTTGCCCTGGCCTCTGACCCTGACCCCTTGCCTCCCTATCCTTGCTGTGCTGCAGGCTAAGCCCATAACTTCCTCTGTCCACTTCCCTTCTAGGGCACTGTGCTGGCCAAGCAGGTGGGGGCCGTGTCCTATGTGGAGTGCTCCTCCCGGTCCTCTGAGCGCAGCGTCAGGGACGTCTTCCATGTGGCCACAGTGGCTTCCCTTGGCCGTGGCCATAGGCAGCTTCGCCGTACCGACTCACGCCGGGGACTCCAGAGATCCGCCCAGCTGGCAGGACGGCCAGACCGGGGGACCGTGGCCGAAGGCGAGATACACAAGGATCGTGCCAAGAGCTGCAACCTCATGTGAGGGCCCAGGGTGGGGCAGTGTGAGGAGGGGCGGTGGAGGGCACACGTGTTCCCCTGCCTGTACTGGGGCTTCTGACCTCCTGATTCTGGCTGGGACTTCAGGGTGGGCCTAGTGAGCGATCCTGAGCAGGGAGCTGCAGGCAGAGGGTGCCAGCATTCCTCACATCTTCATCCCCCTCCTCTCTACAGGAAGTTGAGAGAGCTAGCAGGGCTGGCATCTGGGCCAGGAGCTGGGATGGGCAGAGGGGGTTGGGGAAACTGGCATCAAGCAGTGACCTTGACTGTCTCAGAATGTGAAAGGTGCCTTCCTTCCCCTGGTGACACAGCCCGGTCCTGGCTTCCTTCCCTAAGGAAAGTGTCCGTGCTCTGACCTTCCCTTTTTTCTCTCCTCTCACTTCTCCAGCTGTTCTCACTCATCCTAACCTCCAGGCAACATGCACTAAATTACAAGCAAATTGAGAAGCCCCTCCCTGTCTATACCCACCAACTCTAGCTCCTCCCCTCCCCTCCCCAACAGTCCCCAATAAAGCCCTTGTCCTCGGAAAACGGCTCTGGCTTTAGTTTGTTGCTTCTTAAAAAAAAAAAAAAAAAACCCACAATCTACCAATCTCTAGCAGCAGGAGGGAAAGTTAGTCTTCAAGAAGAACTTTCCTATCTGTGTCCACAGAGATAGGGAGAGAGGAAGGACCTGTGGGCCAGGTCAGCAATGTCTTTTTAGGAGCCATAGGTTGGGGGCTGAGACATCTTGGGAATATTCATCTCAGTTCAGGGGCCAGACAACCCTAAGGCCATCGCTGTGCTATTCATTATGCCACTCAGCTGCCCCCTACACACTCACCCCATGTAGGATGGGGTCTATGGAAGTGGTCCAGGCCTCTCATTCACCACCCCTACCTCATCTCTCCCCACTTGGAATCTGAAGGTGCCCTGGGATTTGTGGGGGTGGGGAGGGCATCAGGAACCTTCACTCCCAGAAGTCAACCCTGTGCCCAGGGAAGATTCCCAAGAGGACAGTAGTTTGATTGTGGGGGTCTCCTCAGAGCAGGGGCTCTTGCCCTTTCCATCCCACATGGAATTTTGGAGGGAGCATCAGCTGTGAGTTTAGGGTCATCCTCCACCCCACCCCCTAGAGAAGGAAAGCTGGTGGAGGGGCTGGTGGGAGCACTTGTTTTCAGGAAAGACAGAGCTGGTCTGTTTTCTTGGGAGTCTGGTTTCACATTGTCCTGTATTCCCTCTCTGGCTCTGGTCCCACTGGCCTCTTTTCGGTGACATTCTCCCCCAGGAACCATCTCTGGCCCTCCCCTACCCCGGTCCCAGTCATCATTTCCAGACACTGTGGGAGAGAACACAGACTTTCCCCTCCCATCTGCTGGGACCCCCCAGGAACCCCCATTTCACAGCCTGTCCCTCATTCATTCAGCAGATACATACTGAACACCCACTGTGTGCCAGGCACGGGCTGGGGATTCTGAAAGGACCAGTCTGTGCTCTGGAGGACAGCCCAGTGGGGGAAAGAGGTAACCCAGGTGTGAAGGTGCCTGGCTGGGGAGCGACTTGTGTTCTTGGGAACCAGTCCTCTGGGCCCGGTCCTGAGGGTGAGGAGTTTGCCAGGCAGTGAAGATGTAGGAAGCCCTCTGGGCAGAGGGGATGGCATGTGCACACATGTGGAGATGAGAAGGAGCAGGCAGTGTGGCCTGCCTTAGTGGGGAGGGCACAAGACAAGCTGGGAAGTTACATTGAGGCCACTGAGGGGCCCACAGAGGTACCAGGATTTCATTCTGAGGATGAGAGGAACCACCAGGATTTCAAGCAGAGAATGAAGTGACCAGATTTGGTTTTCAGGTAGATGGCTATCTGGATGAGGTGACACAGGCTGGAGCTCCTAGAGGTGTCATTTCAAATAGCTTGTCCTTTCACTATGTCTAGAGCCCGGTCTCAGGACAGGAAATCCCACCCACTCCTGGCTCATCAGATACCCCTTTCCGTTCCTCTCCTGCAGGTCCCTGTCCTGGCCCATCTCAGTCTCCAGAATTCTAGGACAGGGCCTCCCCTGGTGGCGCAGCAGTTGAGCGCTGGGTTGCGAGGCTGCCTGCAGCCTCTGCAGCGTCGGTTCGATGCCCGGCCACCGGCAAGGTCCCACCAAAAAAAAAAAAGAATTCTAGGTAGGACAGCTTCAAACCCACTGGGCATCCCATACTCACAGAGACCTGGTTAGGGACTGCCTCTGGGACTCACCCCCCTCAAAGGCCCTGAGTCTTGGATTAAGGGTGCTAGAAAGGGCCAGGGCTCCCAGACAGCTAGGTGGCTCAGTGGATTGTCAAAGGGCTGACCCTTCATACCTTTCACTTGGGATTTGGGGCCAAGTGGCTTCTCTTTTCCACATTGGATTTTGGCTAAAAGCAGGCTCAGGCCTGTAGCCTCCAAAGTGCAGTTTTTTATGCCCCCTCTCCTCTTCCCACCTCCCGCTCCTCTGCTCAGCGCTCAGGGAATGCAAATGCATTTCAATATCCGCCTAAAGCAAACATAATTAGGAAGATAAATCAGTTGGAGGAGCCCCCAAAGTTTAATACATTTCCAATACCACTGGGATCAAATTTCAGTCCCCCCTGAAGTCTGGGTTGCCAAGCATTTTATTTCTGGAGAGGGGGTGGGTGGGGGGAAGGATGGAGCTGCTCCTTGATCCTCAAAGGTCCCTGCAGGCTGGAGGGAGGGGACCTTAAAACCCCAACCCCTTGCAGATGCTGGAGTCAGACCCAGCATCCTCCTCCACAGCTGTTTCCCCCACAAATTAGACACCCTTTGGGAAACAATGTAGCCTCGTTAATCATTTAATGAAATAAACAACTAATCACAAGTGATGGTGCCAGTGCTTCTTAACCTCCACAATCAGCCTGCCCAGGAGGGAGGAGAGGGAAGAGTGGGCACCTGTGTGCGTGTGGGCATATGTGTGTGGAGGGGGGGTTCACTTCAGTCTAACCCCTGAAACTTTACTGATACTGGGTCATCCATCCCCTTGGGACTCAGGCCTTCCCAGGAGGGACAGTCATGAAGAGCTTGGGATGCAGAGGCAGAGGTTGGGGGGGCCTGGGTCCCAGCTCTGCTGCTTCCTCCCTGTGGAGCCTTTAGGGATGCCCTGCACCTATTTGAACCTCAATTTTCACATCTGGAAAAGGGAGCGGGCCACATCTACCTGTGGTTGAGGAAGATTCAGAGAGGAGAAGGGCTTTAGAAAGGGAGCTAAGCTGAGTCAAGCTTGATTCTTTACAGTTTAGACACATTGGCTGCCTGTGAAAGGTGGCAGTCCTTTGGTACTCATTTTTTTGAACTCCCCCAATTTTTTTTTTAAGAAAAAAACACCCTGTGTCCCCCGTGGATATCAGGGCCCTGGTAGGGGAGGTGCAGCTCTCTCCCCTCCCTCCACTCTTCCCCAGAAAAGGGGTTCAACTCTACTGCTTATTCCTCCTCTCCCAACAAAGGAGTTTCTTCCACACAGCGCAGCCCTGCTCCCGCCTTCCCTCTTCCAGCTGGGTTCCCAAGTCTCCCTCCATCTCCAGGTTAATCCTCTCGTCCCTCTCCTCAAGGCTGACATGAGGGTCAGAGAAAGGGGACTCCCCAGGCCCAGGCTACCCCCTAGCAGCCAGAGAGACAAGAGGGACATGTACATAAGTGCCCCTCCCCCCAAGAAAAATGCCTCTGCTGTTGACTCCTAAATAACAGATGTCTGTCTGCATATTAATGAGATTGGACGAATAATTGGTGAGTTTTTCATTCAGTGTCAGAATGAAGCCGGAGGCCTTATGTTCATGCACACAGACACCCACTCATCCCGATTCTCCCCCCAACCCAGAGAACAATGAGCCAGACACAGATGCTGGCAAGCTTGACCCACAAAAGAAGGGGCAGACAGGGAACTGGGTGAGAGTGTCAGCAGGGGGGTGACCTCCATGGTCTGGGGTCTGGGTCTGTCAGGTTCTCCTGCTGGATCACTGTCTTCCCAGGCTCCCAGGGGTAAAAGCTAGCATTTATTAGATCTTAACCACTATGCAGGAGTACAGAGGAATGTGGAGGTCAGAGGATGGAGAGGACTGGAGGGCAGGGGAGGAAAGGGAGGCAGGTGCTGTCCAGGGGGGCCTTGGGTAAGGTTGTGTCTTTCATGAGCCCAGAATCGGAGGCCCTGACTCTGCATTGGGACCCTGCCAGTGTGGCATAGGAAGAACGCAGATTTTGGAGTCAGGTAACTACCATTTATTTGCCAGCTGGTGCTCTTTTGTGTGTGTGTGTGTGTGTGTGTGTAGAAGTACTGGGGTGCAGGCCAGAGGTGTAGAGGGCAGCAGGGATAGGGGATTCACCAGAGACAGAGTGGGGAACAGAACAGGCAGACTGACTGAAATACACTGCTGAGGGGAGCAGCGGGAGAGACAGGAGAGGTCTGCTGCCATGTGGGTAGCTCTCTGGCCAGAATCAACTCAGGCCCATTATGGTGGGCTTTGAGGTGATAGTGCTGAGACTTAACCCCTAGGCCACCAGGGAAGCCCACCAACTTGGTGCCCTTAGGCAAGTTACCCAACCTCTCTGAGCTTTGCACTCTCCTTGTCTCTAAGAACACCTACGTTGCAACATTGAAAGGATGAAATGAGATGAAGTATGTCATGTGTCTCTTTCCAGCGCCTGGTTTATAATAGGCCCCAACACATGTTTGTTCTCTCTACCTATCTCCCAAACACACCAAGACAGTTTCAAATTGCTGTGTCTCCTGGCAGACCCATCCTTGTTAGGGCAGGGGCTAATTAGAAGTTTAGTAATTATCCTGGCTGCCTGGAAACCAGGAGGAAAAGAGAGAGATGGGCAAGAACAGGGAAAGAAATAAGATAGACACAGTGGAGAGAACAGATGGAAAACTACGCCTGGAGTAGGAGAGACTACAGACATCCAGAACCGCAAGACCAGAGAGTAGGGAAAGTACTGCAGACAAGTGAATGAGCTCTGCAAAGAGAGCCTAGATTCTAGCCTGTAGATTCTAGAAGCCCCGGTTCTGCCATAAGTCACTGTTGAACCTTAGCAAGGCTCAAGCCCTCTTCACATCTCAGTCTCCTCATCTGTAAAATCCGAGGGGGTGGTTTGCTAAGACCCCTTCCCATTGTGTGAGAACAAGAGTCTCAGTGGCTGAGGGAGAGGAGCTGCCTCCCCGCCCCGCCCTGTGCTCTAAGGTCCATCAATCACTCTTGCTCTGTCTCCTCTCTCACTTAGTAAATGGAGCTGCTGCGCCAGCAAACAACTGTCCATTGTGTCCTAATGAGGGAAGAGCAGGGAAAACCAATCATTTATGATGCAAATGAGTGGCGGCTGCAGCTACCTCACTTTCACTGAGGGCCTCTTTTCTGCCCAGGCCCGCTCTGCCCCAGTTGGGCCTTTCTCCTTAGCTCCAGTTTCCATCTGGTCCTGGAGGAGGGGAGGAGCCCCAGACGGGCCTTCCCATTGTTGCTCATTGCCGCTCCATGGAAGGAGCCTCAAACTTCGGAGAGGCCCAGATTCTCTCCCCACCCTAAAGAACTCCCAGGGCAACAGTTTTTGTTTTCCATGGAGGTGAAATCCACATAATGTACAAGAAACTATTTCAAGGTGTAGAATTCCATGGTTTCCTGTGTGTCCATCATGCTGTCCTTTTGCCTCCCCTCTGGGCTCAGGTGCTATGCCTCTCTGCCTGTTTCCACATCCCAAGGCCTTCAGTAGCAAGCGGAAGCTGCTGAGCCTTCAGCAGAGTTGAGTGTGATGGAGGACAGTGTTGGGCTGAAGGCTGGGAGAAGCTCAGACTGACCAGGAGCAAAGGGGATGATGGCCCAGCACTTGAGGGCGGAGCCAGAGGAGACTGGACTTTAGCATTCCCATTTAGAGCTCTTCTAGTTTTTGGAGTCCTAGAAAAAATGGGTGGGAAGGACTGAAGGGAATTATTAGCATTCCCAGGACCTCACTGCCTTCCTCAGCACAACCCTGGGTCGATCTTTAGGAGAGGACCTCGATTTCCTGTGGGGATATCCTCTGCCCCCGCCTTGACTTCTTGGGCATCTGACTAGAAACCAGAGGCCACTCCAGCACAGTTCTTGTTTCCATGGCTTTCAGAGCCTCTGTGGACTGGGGATGACCCCACCGGCAGGCTTCTCATCTTGGCAGCTTTGGGGTGCCCTAAGACAGCTCCCATAAACCCTCTGCCTCCAGGAGAAACCTCGATTTACCAGATCCAGGGACAGGGAAGATTTTCTACCTACTTGGCACTAATTTATTTTTTTTAAAAGACTTTATTTATGCATACAAGAACTGGGGTGTAGGCCAGAGGTGCGGGGTGGTGAGAGGATTCACCAGAGGCAGAGTGGGGAGCAGAACAGGCGGATCTACTGAAATATACTGCTGAGGGGAGCAGCGGGCGCCCACAGGAGGGGTCTGCTGTGCCATGTGGGTCAGCTGCCTGGCCAGGGATGGGAACTCAGGCCCCTGCAGCAGTGATTATGCTGAGACTTTAACCAGCACCAGGGAACCTCCCCGGCACTAGTTTATTCCAGAGCCCTATAACCTAACAGCTGGGAAGACCTATGCAAGTTGTAATTTGAGATTCTCGTGCAAATATATACTACCATTTGGTTTTATGTCATTTTCAAGAGAAAATGGCAAACATCTGCTCACCTGTCTGTTATCTTTACAGATTTGCTTTTCCCCCTCTTCCCTAATTTAGGACATGTGGCAATGCTAAAACAAACAAACAAAAATCCAACTCTTCTGGAATTAACCAGTGCCAACTGCTGCAGCATTACAGAAAAAAATCTTTTATATAGAGTCACAAACTATCTTTGCTGACCCTGACCCCCACTCAATTAGAGTCCTCATGCCCTCTCTCCCAGACAAAATACAGCCTAGACAATATAATGAGGGCGTTTCCATCTGTGGCCTAATGAATAGGGTCTTCTGGGCTAGTTAGTTCCAGGTCTGCCATCAACTCATTGGGTGACTTTTGACAAGGCCCTGGACATGTTTTACCACCTACAAAGTGGGGATAACAATCGACCCTAGCCGCCTCCTAGGGAATGAGAGAGGGGAAGTAATGGTTGTGCCAGTGCTTTGAACTTGCAGAGATTATCATGAACATCATAATTATTTGTCCAGTGATGGCGGCAGTAGTTTATCTGTCTTAGGTATCCAGCCTGGAGGAGGTGTTGCTGGAGGACACAGGATAAGGGAAATGGATGTTCTGTCTGGGTGGTTGTGGGTCTGATTAATCACAAAGGGCTGGCTTCAGGACAGGCAAAAGAGAACCCAAGAGAAATCCTGTAGATGTGGGCTTAGAAGAGAGTGGTTCCTGAACATTTAGAGCTCTTATAGTTTTTGGAGTCCTAG